AATATAAACAACACGTGGTTGACATACTAGCTTTTATCCAGGCTTTGCTGCAGCTACCCATTTTTATGCATTTAATTGCAAAGACCTAAATAGTTCTAGTTCCAATGAATGGTAAGTTTAAACGAATTATATATGTACATTGATAATACAGACATACATTATAATTGTATCGCTAATAAATTAAACCTACTTTTATATTTATATTAATAAAGAAATTAAATTATCTTCAGACAGTTAAATATAATTCGTGGGTAATTTAATTTTGTACATTTTAAAGGACGAAAATATCGCTTGAGACGTACTCTTGCCATGATAAAACATCATTCACGTATTAAATTTCGTTAACCTAAAATAAAAAATATATATTTTTTGCAAAATGAATTAAAACTTCAAATAAATTTTTCTATCAGCTGTTTTCTTTTATATATGAAAAACTCCATCGCTTGAAGATTCTTTAAATTATTCTACATCGCTTTATTGTAAATAAAATAAATATAAAACCTATTTTGACTAATGATGACTCCTTACACGTTGTGTGCAACGTGAGTTCAATTGAAGATTATCATTATTATCTTTTCAAAGTACCGTAAGTATTGAGAAAAATATTATCTTAAACACATACTTACATTCATGCACTTATAATATTAAGAGAATAAGAAAATTACTCAAAACTAAGCTCATTATCATAAATAAACACACAATTTGATCTCTATTTAAAACGGATAATTTAATTCTATTGATTAGATCAAAAAATATATCTTTCATATTGCCTGTATTTGCTTTTAAGTCATGTGTTAAAATTAACCCTAGATTATGAATGGAGTCTGGAGTTTTTACATGTATTTTATTTTGTACCATTACTATAAATTCACATCGTTAAAATGAACAGTCATTTTCTAGTTTATCAATCATAATACACATGATAGCATCAACGTAAGTTACTGAACTAAAAAAAGAATTGAGAGTTTAGTTTTGTAATGGAAACACGTTTATTAAGGTGGTTAGAGCCTAGCTGTGGTCAGTTACTATAGCTCGAACATGGGCTGGCTCGACAGGGGAAGATCCACCTACGTTTTGTCCGATGAGTGAGAGAGCCGGTTACCCTTTACCTATTCCCACCCCTTCCTAATGTCACCTTATTTCAACCCAACAAGCTACGCCCTCAACAACCAAGGTTGGCAACGTGTCCGCAGCGTCTTATATGTTGCAGATGTCCATGGACAACGATGACTACTGCCCATCACGTAGGCTGTCTGCTCGTTTGTCATCTTTCTCCCAAAAAAAGTGGCCTGGCGCGACCGGGGAAGTTCCAGCCCCCCACAGGAGAACGGCGCGAAAAAGTCTTTAATGGCTACATTTGATCCGATGAGTGAGAGAGACGGTTGGCTTTTGTCTTTTTCTACCCTTCCCTCTCCCTTTCCCACAATCAAGGTCAGCAAAGCATCCACAACATTCCTTATGATGCAGATGTCCGTAGGTGACGGTAACTTTCAATCAGGTAAGCCAGGTATCAAGTAATCAGGTAAGTCTACTCATTTGCCCCTTTGACATACAAAATCGTGGTACGCCAACGGAAATATTTAATATGAAATACATTAAATTCGAATAAAATTCTTAAAAGATAGATAATAAGTCTCCAAAAACATTGAAAATATAATATTTTTATTATTCATAATCATTTTTAATACTGTTATATCCAGTTTACACCAGACCGGTTGCAACCCTGTGAACTTACTCATTTGTCGATAACATATTTAATCACAGGCACAAACTCTTTTTTAGATATATTTTTATTTCTCTTATATATAAAGTCGAAACTCTTAACTAGAACTATATTATAATATTTAACATTTGAATTTATAAGTACGACTTCGTCATCACAAAAAATTGTTTGAATTTTGCCAAAAAAAATTGTTTGTTGGTATTCTTTATGCTTATAACCCCCCAATTTGACGTTTGGGCGATCATCGTTATGTCAAACTTGTATTGTATTTGGTCAAAATTTATATCACCTCTTTAAACCCTATTAAATATTCAGAAGCGTCTGTTTATCGCGTTTAAATTATGCCGAATTGTTTTATATTACGCATCACAATCTCTTAGCAAACAATTGTTTTGACCGTGAATTTTTACCTATTAGTGTCATTGCGACCTGACCTCTGCTTATGTCATAAAACCTACTTAAGATAATGTGAAATGTGTTTGTCTTATCGTGATATTTATTTTGATATTTTATCTTGTGATGTTCGTACATAATTTGAAAAAAAAAATTGTGATGCAAATCATTTCATATTTTCATTTTTTATATCAGACGGTCAATAATATCAATATTATAAATGGAAACCTTTGTTATGATGTGATGTTTGTTGGTCTTTGACGTAAAAAATATTCTACGGTATTTCACGAAGGCTTATATTAATATGTTTTAGATATTAGAATAAGAGATAGGCTGTTATTTATCCTGGAATACACTGTAGTAATAGCAGCATAGTAGCAGAATAGTTGTTTTTTGCATAAAGCCACGTAATACAGACTGTAGATTTTATACATTCCTCTCAGCTATATTCAAAAGGTCACTTAGAAAAAGTAAATGGCAAAAACTATCCAAAATATCTTAATAATATTGTAGCTTAAGCTCTGGAACTGAGAAAGTTTAAGGTTTTCCCAAGAAATCGTTAAAACGAGTTGGGAACTTCCAGGTAATGTTAGCTTCTTATAAAAGTTCTCTTTCGTTGTGTCTGTAATAATATATACATAATATTTTTTGTTTACTTTCATTTAAATACTTTACAAACAATGTTTTAATTAAAAATATCTGTTCTGCTATAATTCTGTAAGAAATTTATAAATCTATGATATACTTTAAAATTTGTTTGTTTATTAAATATATTTTTATTAATCAAACCACTAATTTAGTTTAAGTTCGCGGTTTCTTTTATAGCTGTTTCGATAAACTTCAAGCTGTTATAGACGCCGTCATTTATAAAATAACATTATTTTCTAATCAAAAGAATGTTGAAAATCGTTATATTAATATTTGAAACATTTAACATAATGTAATGATATCAAACTAATTTCATATAAAATAAAAATGGCATCGTGTTATCGAAGATACATTCTGAAGGTTGAGTACTTTCTAGAACATCCAAATTGTTTAATCAATATCACCGCATTGACATGAAATAGGGCACTCCACGCCATCTATATTTGATAATGTGAACTTAAACGTTGTTGAAGATAGCGCCATCTGTTGACTCATGTTTAAAACTTTGCTCATAATTTTGAATTTATATTTAAAATATTTCTTATACCTATATTGTATTTAGAATTACTTTGTTGAACGGATAAAGTCTAAAAATATGAAGGTAATACTCCGTCTAAGAACTCTTAATTCTTGGGACGTAATTCGATTACATTTTATGTACTTAGTATTTCTGTCTGTTTTGGTAAAGGTGCAAAGTAAAAATTGCGGAATTGGTTTAATATTTTAATGAAAATTCAACTAAACGTATAAATCTTATTTATACTTACAATAAACAAGTAAATGGGTTAATATTTACATATCGCTGAAAGACGCTATACATATGCGTTTTCATGCAAAATTTTATTTAACAAAAATATGGTACACTGGGCACCCTTGACATGTGACTGATGCCTTACAAATAAATGTATAATAAAAACTCATTTATTTCACATTAAAAAGACAATAAAATAACAATAATATAAAATTTACTACAGGAATACAATTTCTAATATTTAAATTAATTATCTGTCCCGATTTCAAACACTCAAATTTCAATATATTATAATAAAAAAAACAACATTAAGGTAGTAGCGCGCGTCAATGAAATATTTAAAATCGAGACGGACTTTCATACCGGCGTAAACAAATATATCATTTATAACAAATTTATTAAAATATACTGAAGAATAATTTACATTACCCGGGGGCAAATTCTTTTAGTGACCCAAACAAAAGACTAAAGTCAAACGAATGTTATATGAAGATTGAAGAGAAATAATAAAAATATATATACATATTATTAAGTTAATAAGTATCCAACTTCTTTTGTCTTATGTTTTTTCATTAACAGATAGTACGTACGTACTTTACGTGTAAGTAAAGGCATCAGACATATTAAAAAACATCTCAAAAGAGTTACGCTGTAAACGCAGTCTTACACCCTTCAACATCAAACTGTATCCGTACCAAAAGTTCTCATTACCAAACTACACAGAATCTAGTCTTCTTTTAGTTTGTTATGCAAACTTGTGGTAAACTGTGCTCACTACACTACAATACATGTGCCGAACTACACAGGGCCCAAATTAATACCTATCCAGGATTAAGTTCACTAAAATAATGAATTTTAATTTCAAACTTACAGTGTGATACCTCATTTTATAATTTATTTCATGTAAATGAATTTAAATGTAAATTATAACGTCTACATGGGTTATTAATTATTATGCGTATATTTCGGTGTATACAAACGAATTATTCAACAGACAAGCAACACGTCTACAAAATATGAATATCAATGATATATAAGTAAATACACATCGTGTCTAAACGATCTAACGGGCCCGTACATACACTACTAATAAAATGACGCTACAATTACAATTGGTATAATAAAATTGGCCTCGCCCATACGAAACGATAACAAATCTACGCTAACTACCAATTATATGACTAGACTATCTTTGGAGGGATTTGTCTAGGAAATATGGAAGAACTACTGGATTCAGCCTGACCACTTGATGTTAGAACTTTCACTTCGGTACTGAATATAAAATACAACAAAATTAACACTATAACATTCCTTTGTTATCACTTTATAACAATAACAAATTCTTAATGCAGTTTTAGTTAAATACGTGTTTAAGTATCAATAAAATTTTCCGTTAATTTCAGAGAGGATAAACTGTTTGTATTGAAATAATCAAGCAGCTGGCATAACAAAAGGATATGTAAATAAAGATTCTAATTAATGCTGTTACAACGAGTCAAGCCGCGTGCGCTGAACGGCGAGCAGCGCTGACTGCTGCTGCAAGCTCTTACGAAGACCCTCCAACGTTTGTAACACCTGGAACAATGGATTAAGCTAAAAAATCTCACAGAAAAAGTTAGTTTATATGTGTAGTTATAGAGTGACGACAAAATTAATGAGATCTAAGACTTTTGCGAGTTTTCATTTAAATGAAACTAATATATTCGGATTACAACGCGTTATTTTTTTTTTTATTTTGAGACAGACAATTACATCTCATCTGCCCGAGATCACTGTTGATGTAAAGTAACCGAATTGTGGGAAGTTTGTAATTTTTAAATATAATAAATAAAATATGCATAAAAATCCGAAAGTATTAGTTTCATTTAAATGATAAAATTGTTTCGCTTTCGTCAAAAAACAATTCAAACGTTCATGATTATCGAATTTAATAATATTTGTAAAGGGTTTTTTATCCAAAACTTGCTACATCTCGAAGTATTTTTAGGGAAGTACCCTTTTAGTTTGTATATAAGGTCATCACCTCGGCATTTATTTTTATACTTTTACTTTTAAGTTCATGTTAGTTCTGGCATTCTTCCTTGAATTTACTCAGATTCAGTTAGTTTTTTCGGTGACAATGTAAACAAGTATAATACCTTATTTACATACAATTAAGTTGTAATACACTTGTAAACTACTTGTCTATACATGTATTAAATAAAATTTGAGTGTCCGTTTCTGATTTATATACGGATGAACAACACAAGTTATAAAATAGTATTACCAAAATGTATAATAGTATAAGTTGTAAAGTAAAGAAGGAGAAAACTCTAAATTTTAATTTTAATTTCAGTAAACAACAGAGGCTCGTTAAAAAAATTACCAACAACTACATCCCTACTAATATTATAAATGCTAAAGTAACTCTGTCTGTCTGTCTGTCTTTTACGCTTTCACGCCTAAACCACTGAACTGATTTTAATGAAATTTGGTACTGATATAGAATAGACCTTGAGAAAGAACATAGGATAGTTTTTATCCCAGACTTTTGAAAGGTTCTCTTGGAAAAACGATATAACCGAACTCCACGCGGGCGAAGCTGCGGGCGGAAAGTTACTATAATAATAAACTTAGTTAGTTGTCTTGATATGTTTGTATAAACGGCCATTTTATAAACAAAGGATTTCATAAATAAATTACGCAAATCTCACAATAGTGTAATCAGTACATGTCAAGGTTGATCAACCGAGATAATATTAATTAGAAGGACAATTAAGTTTTTACGCCTTCATTGATGAACTATGAGTTAAATTATAGCGCAGTTAAGAACGCTATTGTCATATCTGTATTAATGGAATATTTTATTATATAACAAACTATTAAAATAAGGAATTTAATTTATCAACATCAATTATAAAAGAAGAACTAATTGTAAAATCCATAAAAATAAATCTATGTTATGTATTAATTAAATTAGATCATGCAGAAATTTATAAAGGGATAAAGAGCTTACGTATTTCAAACTCATTATTTAGAATTGCTTATTCATTAAGATTTGATCCTCTAATGAACAAGCTATATACATATTATATGTATGTAGTTAGTTCTAATTGTTTGTATGGATTACCTCGTCTCGAGCATACGCCTTTCTCTTCGGCGGTTCAGAGTGTGGTCTGTCAGTAGAAGGAGGTTGTGTGGTGCGGGGAGGGATTTGCCCGGGGGGGCAGGTCTGCGGGGGGGCGGCAAGGGGGGAGCGCCGGGCCACGGGAGACAGACGCCGGGGAGGCTCGGGGGAGTTGGCGCGAATGAAGTTGGTAACGTGAGTGCGCTCTGGACTCCTTCGTGGCGCTTCCACCTTCGAACAATGTTTTAATGTCACACTATAACCATGCATAACGGGGTTATTAAAAAAAGAAACAGGCATCTAATTAAAATTTAAAAACTATTTCGTTCTAAACCTATGATGTGATAGGACTAACCTCAGTGGCTCTTAGTTCTCTAACACGAGGGTTGTGAGGTGGTTCTATCGGAGCTCTAGAGACTGTCACAAGCAGTTTCTCGGCCTCTCTGATAAGTTCTCTGTATTTCCTCTCAGCCTCCCGATCAGCTTCAAGTAGTGGATCCCGTTCCCTTACAGGTGGTGCTGAAGGCGCGTGGCATCGACGACGCATTCGGGGAGGAGTTGCGCCTATAAAATGAATTTTCCTGTGTTAATATGAATCTGGAATAAGAATGGTAATCATTTATTTTTATTTACCTGCAGATTTTGGTGGACGTCGTTGCGGTCTACGTCTTCTTGCCCGTCTTCTTCCCGGAGACGACCTGCTGTCCGGTTCGTCCTCATCTCCACCATCCAAGCCTGTGTCTCCATCCGAGTCGACGTCCAAGTCAGATAGAATAGCTGTTTCCCTGTTTCTTATCTTGATACCGAGGCATTCTTCGTCACTGGACACCCCACCCCTATACATTGAATATGGCTCGGGGGATAAATGTGGCGACATATAGGGAGATTTACGAGGAGATAAATGAGGTGATAGATGCGGAGATAAGTGTGGAGATAGGTGCGGAGAGAGGTGAGGCGATCTGAAAACAAAATATATTTTTTTTAAGTTACTACGCTATGACTGGTTACCACTTAACTATGTTTAAGCTAACGAGTTATTTAACTAGAATTTGTACCCTGAATCAACTTACCATATCAATTATCATATTAACAACAAATTAATATTACTCGGACCATAAAAAATAAGTAGACTTGAACTAAAACATATTTTACAATTTAAATGATACTAATATGTTCCGGATTATACTACGCGTATTCTATTATTGTAAAAACTACATACTCCCGACATTCCGGTTATTTTTCAGGAATCTTGATTACGGGAAGACGAGATGTTCTTACAATTTACTTAGTATGCATATACATATTCTCTATATTAATATGTAGTAACATCTTTGTGCAAGCAAATTTAAGACGAATGACATATTCTTGTTCAGGACGGACCAAAAATCATACCTAGATGAATATTTCTGATGAGAGTCCAACGAATAAGGAGCGTGGTGTAAGTGTGGATGCGGCTGAGGTATTTGAAGCGACTGTTGTTGCTGCAACGGATGCTTCCGTCTCGCGTTGGGAGAGGTCGCTCCGAGCCATGGATTCGTTCTGATCCTACAACGAGGTCGAGGTGACGGAGTTGCACATACAACGGGCTCTGGAACAGCTCGACGGATTGTTGTGCTTGAACGACGCTGAAATATATAATTATTTATTTTATATATTAATATTTACGAGACTATAAGGCATTTTATATGAAAATCTATTAGTGCTGATGCGCATTGTATTTATAGTAAAATTGATAGATTTACAAATATGCTTATATTCTTAATCAACTGAGATCATTAATATCCTAATTGTTATGGACGTTTCAATTGTCAAAATAATAAAGAAATATTTATCTGTTTATTCCTTTAAATTAATTGTTTTCATATTCATTAGCTTAATTAATATGAAACCTTTTGCAGAATACGTAATAAAATGAGATACTGTATTTTTATGTCAGATATATTATATACATAATATATTAGTAGATTCTTTTACTTATCTCCATGTTAATTAAAGGAAATTATTTCACAGTTCCAATTGAGGCTGATATATTTTCTTTTCATTGAGAAACAAAAATACACGCCTGTTTTTACTTTCAATGCAATCAATGATAATCAAAACATTGCCCTTTCTAAAGTAAAAGGGCTTTACAAAAATTGCGCTCGGACTCCCTGACGGCAGCCGGGCGCGGGTCAGTTATACAAGATAACATGTGGGTGTCAGCATCAGTGCTCTCACTTTACGATCACTGCGCACTATGCTCCCCAAGACAAGGAAGTACACGAACATGGCTAGGAAAGACGAACTCTAGTAACTTTGGGAGAAAATAACGCTTGCGTGATGTAAAATACTAGTAGTGCCATCTATGATCGATGAAAGCAACTAACTCAACTTTTGAGAATGTTTTATTTTCTGTACTACTTATTGAAGAGAAGCGTCTAGAATTTTCTTTCAATATTTCTATTTAGTTATTTTAAAGCAGACAGATTAATGGGGATATAATAAAACGTGGTCGGGAAAATGAGATTACACCAATGACTCCCATCAGCTAATGGAGTGCCATTTGTGTTTTCATTTATTCTTCGCGATATTTATGTGTTTTTTTTATCAACGATTTAAATAAACGTAATGTTTATTTCTAAGCTCACTTCTATCATCTGTATGATTTGTAATGTCACCTACATTTTAACACTCAAATTGAAATTAAATTGTATAGGTGGATCTGTCATAGACCACAGTCATGGCATTTCTCAATTATTAAGATAAAAAGAGACTACAATACCCCAAAACAAGGAATATATGCAAAGTTTCTGATCATACTTATAGTTAATGAATTGAATTCACTGTTTTTTATGTATTTGGATTTGAAATCAAGTTATCTTTTCAATGTTAAACATCCGACAAGAAGTCCTTTGAGATAAACATTATCTCCATCGCTTCAGGGAAATGAATTTATTAGTAAAAAAATTAACGACACTCAATAAGTATTTGTCAAATTCAAGGACACAAACGAGTTTTTCGATCCCTTTAATGATAAGAATGCTATTCTTTAAGAAGCTTTGAAGGCTCGTTCATCAAAAAAAATATGTTTGTTTTTTCATTTATCCATAAAAATGAGATGAAAAAATTTAAATTAATATCATCATATCAATTCACTCTACTCGTGATCAAAATATCCAAAAATATATTTCAGATATGACCAATTACACACGTGGTTAACTTTGTTTTAACTGGAGTATTTCTCAATTATCATTAAGAAAACTTTCACTGCATTCAAAATAAAACTACTTACATTAAAACAAGAAATAGACAACCTTATTGCAAAAATATATACTTTGAAATCGCTTAAATTACGACAAGAATATCTAAATAAATTTATATCACGCAATATCTACACATTAACAAAATGAATGCTACAGTACTTATAAAAATACTGTCATTAATTTGAAACCTACTGGAGGTTCCATTAATAAGGCTTAAAACCGGTCCCATTATAAAGACAAATAACGTCGCTCATCAGAGCAGTCATTATTGGATAGCCTTTGTGCGTTTAACCCTCGTCAACCTATCCAGTCCAGTTAATTAATAAAGTAATCCAGATTATATATGAGAGCGGTTATAAATATCGTTAGGAAAATCAATACGTCGAATGACCTTTCATCATACACCTAGTTTATTTTTCTCTTATTTATATCATTAATTCGATGTTACATAAGTCAATAGAAATTTGATATGACCGCAAAAAGCTTTTAGCGCCATAGCGTTTGCACCCCAAATATTATTTTCATAACAGAATTTGCAAATAATTTTCATACTTAACATTATTTATGCTAAACCGTTGTCTTAAATATGTATAATAAAATAATAATAGATAATTTGTATTATAGTAGAAAAGATTATTAAAGTGCAAAAAAATATTGGTACAAATTTTACCCTAGCCGGTTCGTGGTATAGGTGTGTGGTCGGTGGCGTAGGCGGCGGCGGGGGAGCCACGAGCGGAGCGGAAAGCGGGCCGGGTGCCAGGCCAGGAGAGGTGCCATCTGTTGAGTAGCCGGTGCTATACGCGCTTTCCGGGGAAGACAAGTGTGGTGGGGGCTGCGGTGTAGCTGGCGGGACGTTCCTCGTTGGTTTCTGTTTACGTTTCTTCGCCCTCCCCAGTTGCGCTTCCATCCATGACTTGAGCCGCGCGCCCAGCATGCCTCCGACGGCACCTGAACATGAAACATCGCTGATGATGAAACCGAGCATTGTTTGTTATAACATTGTTTTCAATAGACCTTGCAAATAATAAGTCCGTACACAATTGTACTGTAAATGTTTTACGTCATAATATTTCAAACAAAGACTTTAAAGCAATATATTATGTAATCGAAATAAGTTTCGTAAAACAATTACATGAAAACGACTACTCTGACAGGAGCAGAGGCAATCTGACGGTAGAAAGGGGGAAATCGTATTTCATATTCACACAGAGCGTTTATACTGACAAAGGATTTTCAGAAAATGGTTATGCTAACTTGAAGAGAGCAGTACAATTGTTTTCCTCTCCGCACATTGCCTGTCATCTGAACACTTTCTTTGAAATAAACAATACTAACATAAAATGTTTTATCATCCCCACGTAACGAAAGAGCGAGGACCCGCTGTAATGAAACAAAGTCCTTCAAAGTTTTGGGCTTAAAAAGTTTCAATACAATCACGGTTGTGTATTCAGTGTGTAAGTTTAAACCAAACTATACCTATGTACTTTGTACTATACTTGCTTGTTATAAGGACATACTTCAAATATCACGAACAAAGCTAGTTGGGAATTCCCGCAAGTGATTAAAATACGACTTTGTAATGTGAGATAATATATCCATCAGCGTAATAGTAGTCTGGGGCCCATCGTGCTATAAACACGGCATTGTCCGGAGTGTAGCGTTACAAGGAAAAAATACCGATCGCTGTCTTTGTACACAGATCTGAGATTCTCATTTACAGATGATGGAAATACGGACATTTATTTTAAATAAACGTATCTTTACTTGAATTCTATTTTTAGTTTAAATATATATTACCTCTTGTGAATACTTTGCATAATTGGGGTATGTTTATTTTTTTTTTCATATGACGTTTATAAAAACATGAATAGGTTTTCAATTTTTTATTGCAACACTGACTTAAGAAAAATTTGAAATAAAACTCTTTCCAGATAACGTAATAAGTAGAAATGAATTAAAATTCAATCAGCAACACGTATAAATATATTTTAGATAAATAAAAAATAAAATGAAAAGTTATACCTATTACAGTTAATTAATTCTATAATTCAATTTTTCAATATTCTAATACGGAAGGTTGAAGAATGAAGAAATTATCGACATTCTAAGCTTTTATCCTGACAGTCATCAAGAATAAAATTCATAAAATTCAAACCCTCATTCTTGCATAGTTTAATTAATTGCCTTCTCGTTTTATTCTGCCATTATTTGAAAAGTTTATGTTACAAATACAATAGGTTTATAACTGAATATTAATGCAAAATAGCTTTGAAAGTATTCAATGCTATTTTTAAAATTTATATTTTTATACAAACATTTGCCAATATTTTAAATATTTTTAACATTCTTTTTTTTGCGTTTCTGATTAGAATTGATATTGTCATAGTGACATTCGAAAGAGTTGTCCTATGTCAGACTATTATGTGACAACTGACAATAAATGTCACGTACAGCAGTATTTGGTCAGATAAAGTTATTTTTGAACCAACAGAAAGATATTAAGGCTACTTTCCATTGATTCTTGTGTATTTTCGCCATTCTACCACACTGAAGCTGTCCTGTAATTGTTTGCAAAAACATTTTTGGATATATTATAGGTATGTATACTTATATTTACACTTATAACCTGTTCTAAATATATTACGTTTATTCAATGATGAAAAGTTCATGCAACATTTACATGTAAAGAATATTATATTAAATACGAATCAAATAAATAAGATTACATTCACCCTAAGAATATTAACAAAAGCAATATAAACAATAATATAACTACTCTCTTTTCTTCAAAACGAAGGAAAAGATATTTATATAAAGTTTAAAGTGCCCACATCTCTAAAACCCTTCGAGCTTGTAACTAAATAGCTGTGGATAGACGTCGGATCTGAGATTCTCAATCCATTAACCGAACAAACACTTCGATATTGAAGGGCGACATGAAATGTGCTTTATATCATGTTCAGAATTCAACCAACGTACATTGCGTTTTGGTATTAGCATAATGTTTACCGTCTTCCTAAAATAACGTCAATGTATATATAAATTGTAATCTGTTCATATATAATCATATCGCTACATATAATAGCTTTTTTTCTTCATACGTACGTTGTATTTTGGATTTTACATTTATCTATACAAATAAGTAAAACTGGAGTGTACATACACCAAAATAACATTTTAAAAATTTTTGTCTGTCTGTTTGTTCGGTCTAATCTCTGAAATGACTGAACCGATTGTGACGGGACTTTTACTGTCAGGTAGCTAATGTAATGAGAAGTAACTTAGGCTACTTTTTATCCCTATCCCAAAATTAGGTGTTATCACGCGATAGTGGTTTTCAAGACGCATTCAGCGCTTAAAAAGGATTTTCATTGTTTTTTTTTTTAAGCAGATGAAGTCGCGGGTAACAGCTAGTTTTAAATATAAATCACGTATAAATTTGTCATATACACGACATATTGTTAATTCAAAATATTGCCGTATATTCATGTTTATACATTTCATGAAATTCTCCTTGTTACAATCTAACAACATCGTGTCGTCTGGAACGTCTATTTGAAATTCTTGGAACACCCCCTCGGTCGGAATAGGACGAAAACTATTTGAGATTCCACAGATTATAATAATTTATTATTTACTTATATATTTCTATATAAAAATATCGTATTTTTTATATGCAAATTTATGAAGAATTTCAGAAATAAAACAGCGAAATACGTAAGAAATAATGATAATTTTATACAAAAAGTAAAACAGTCTAAGAAAAATCTATCACGAGGAAGATAAAATGTATTTAAACCTATATTTTAAAAGAACACCAAGCGAGTAATCTATAAAAGGAATCTCAGAATAAACACACTCATGTCACACTATAAAAATCGACACTAAAACTTTATATTGTCTGACATAACGTTAACGACGCGAGGGACATGTATTAGACGGTTAAAGAGCGGACTGTTCTCAAAGGACAATAATATTATTTACAAAATAAAGATACATCTGTTAATTGTATGATACAAACACATTGTTATACTATGAAAATTTAATCAAATCTGAGATCATCGCGAGTATCTAAAACATTTGAATAAAGTACGTTTTTTCATGATATACTAGGTATGTCATTTATTATACTGCTTATACATTTCTTTGTAGTAACACTTAATCGACAGAAACTTAGAACATATCGTTTTATTTAAATATAGAATAAATTTATAAGAAAAAAAAGTTTATATATGTTTTATTATAATTAAAAATAAGGCTGTTTTCGGTTCAAAAATCACAAGATAGAATGAAGAGCACTCGTGAAATCTTTTCACTATTAATGTAGGTTAAGTTGTATTTTATTGCCGACCCCGACGTGTATCGCTGAAAAGAGGTTCAACACGAGCCCAAATACGTGAGTTAATTTTTATATTTCAATTTTGATTCAGATTTAAATAGCTTATATTATATTTTATTATCACGTAATAAATTATCCAAGGTTAGTTTTTTTTTAGATCAATTGTAAGAGTTCTGTTTTATACATATATCGTCTTCTTTGTTAACCTATAAAACTTATTTTGATGTAAAATATATAATCTGTGCCTTAGTACAGATACATAAACATTTAATATAATACAAATGAAATGTAATGTTTATTCAAAAGCCACTACCAGTCTGGAAAAACAAAGACTGACTACTGAGCATCGAGATCACTCATGCATTTATTCAAAGTATGTCCTGAACAGAAAAACAATGAAGATCCCTTCGATTAGATCTATTTACATCACAAGACGTGCAAGAGTTATGTGATAGAAAAGGATATTAGATCCATTATAGGAAATTAATTGATTTCCTTCACCAAGAAACGTTTAAATTGGGTAAATTTTACATTAAAAATCTTAAAGGCATTTTAAAGCGTTGGAATAATACAAATATTTAGGTAATAGATTATACATATATATCGACGAAATCTGAATTTAAAGGCCCTTATCATTTGTATTTGAAGTTTTCTAATAACAATTAATACTTAGACGCTAGGAATCTATCAGGTTTACAAGCTGACAGCTAATTTACATCAAACGTAAATAACTTTATAAATTCAACTGTAACTTTGCTTCTAAACTGTAACATACATATATATATATATATATATGTATATATATATACATGTGTTGAAGTTTATATATAACTTGAGAATGTATAAGATAATCCTTTGCAAGTATTATTATCTTAATTCTAACGTTGGATGTGAGCCAAACGGTAATCCTATTTGTAGGCTCGTGGGGCATATTACGTTTTAAACTCAGCTCGTTCATGGTACTAGTTCATTCAACTCTTTTAATAAAAACTTTCATTTACTAAAAGACTATATTTTAAATTTAATTGTAGATATATACGTGTATATTTTCGCGTGTATACATTTGAATGAATTAATGTTTTTCTGATACTACGCGTTTTTATATTTTTTTATCTACATAATTCTGAAGTTTTGTTTCCTTTACAGCAACCGTGATCACGGGCAGATGACATGAAATGGTGGTAATCACGATTGCTGCTAAGGAAACAAAATATCGGGAAAATATTAAAAAAATGTTAAGTATCCGAAAACCTTAGTTTCTTTATAAATCAATTGATATAGCAACATATTTAAAATGAAATAAATACTTATAAAAATAATACAGTTCTGTAAAAGAAGTTTTCTGAAACTAACCGTACTTTATTTTAGCCAGACGGAGACAATTTTAGAAATGCTTAAAGTATAAACTCTTAAGTGTTAGTGAAACTTTAGCGGATCAAAATGTAATACTTCAACTGTAATAAGCTCCAGGAACAACTTTTATACAGTTATATGCACTTAATACATATATGTATAGGGTACGTTTTAAGAAAAAATCATAGAAATAAAATGTATATGTAAGGAATTTAATAAATATGCACTTGAACTAATATTGAAATAAAAATGATATATAACACTTTTGAGTGTATTCATATAAATAAAACTAAGATTATCGAATAGAATAAGGGTTTTTATTTAAATTTTAAACTACGTTTTCCCGACGTCGAACCGAAACATCGAGAGTATGCAGATTTAAAATAATAAAATATATTAGTATGTATACCCGAAAATCTTTAATTTATGTAATTGAAATAAGAAGTAGAAAACGGATAATCTTTTAATAAGAATTGAAAAATTTATTGAACTGAAGGAATCGAATCTGTTATTACCAGGACACGCCTTCGTCACTTTTGTAACTAAACATTAGTGTCCTAATTTAAGCTGGTAAATTAAACATTATTTTTGTTCCAACTATATTGTCATTAAAAATATGATAGTAACAATATTATTTTTATGCATTTTCAATACTTAAAGTATATCGAAATATATATTATAAATGAGATAGTAAAAAGTATTCGTAAAACATATGATTGAAAACGGCAGCCCGAGCTCACCACGAACGCTACAGGCGGAGTTATAGCGAAAAAAAAAGATTGAAAAGATGCTCCCAGCCTCAGGCAATTACGTGAAATGCAAGTCCCGAATGAATACTCGTTCAAACATGTGTCGAAATTGCACCTTCATTTATGAAATGAAGTTTTATATAAAAAAAAATATATATTTTCACTAGACACATTCAATTTGAAGAGTTGGAATCTCGTTAAGATTATATATCATATTAAAATGATATTAAAATTTGTGTTATATGGTTAAATTTTTAAAATTATAATTTTTTTATTATTATATAAATTATTATTAATCACGCGATTTACACACAAATTATCAATAATAAAATAATATTGGAAAAATATTAAATAAATAATACAATAATTAAATTGATTTTCAAATACGTTCGTTTCATCTTAATTCCGTGCAACCCTTCAGAGTATTTAGTAACCTCTTACAGGGGCAGTGGGCTATCGAACCGCACATTTGTTGCGAATCGCTCCAGCTAATATACATCCACGTGTAGATTTACGCTCTTAATTAAATTATTATGAATTAAATAATATAAAGTTATGTATAATTATGTGTTAAATGTGTTTTATTATATCATTACTTACAGGGGCGCACGGTGTAGATGGTGCAAGCGAGACGAGATGGGAAGTCGCATGCCGTTTAAGCGGCGGCACGCGACGCTAGCCGGCTATACACTGGCTCACGCACGCGCGTAGACACAGCTACGGGCAGCTACGACGCCACGCGCTACGCGGCTACGAAGGGTGTGTTTACATCCGCGTGGATTATGATTTATGATTCAACGTTTATTATGATTCTCAATATTTAATATGTTATAATTTTTTGTTTTTTTAATTGATATAATTGATTCATATATTTAACGACTTCAATAATGATATGCATTGGATAGAATTATTTCGTTTATTACATTACTTGCTTAATATGAACAAGAATAATATTTTCATATAAAATATTACTAAAAGTATCAATGTATAGTAATGTATCTATATAATCGCGTCCCCGTGATATCTCTCGTGAGTATGATTACTTTACGTCCGGGGATAGATTTGGCAATTCCACGACGAAAATAAACGTTTAAATTGATAGAAGGATTGCGAACATGTACTAGATAATAAATGTAGGCAGATTTTTAAATGAAATAAATTTATTATTTTATATGTAATCGCTATTTCGTATTATAATAAGTACTCAATTAACAAATAGTATGAAATATATCATAATAATATTATTAACTTAAATAGTAACAGATAATTCTTTTTATTTGTATATATACTAAATATTAATAAATTTTATTGTGAAATTATAAAAATATATAAATAAATAAGAGAAACGCGACCTAATAACTATCAATTTTATATTGAACAAAATATACCTATGTACTTAATAATTATAGTTATATTCCCTCAAGTCTCAACCACTATTATTTAATCTGATTATATAATTACGCTGACAAATGCAAATAACAGCCAACAGTATTGTATCAGCTGAAGCTTTACTTGGAACTTGTAACTTCTAAATAATGTTACGCAATTAGAGAAAATTTATTGTCCCAGTATTCGTTACCCGTAGTTACTTGAACAATAAAACAGGGTTCGTTAACTAATATTTAATTCATTAGCTTTGTATTTTGTTGGTTGCTTACAAAGGAAATGTTTTGGCAAATATAACTACGTTATTTGGTTGTGCGTTATTTGAAAGTCAGTATGAAATTTAAATAAAAATAGGTACAATGTAAAGCAAAAGGATCTAGCGTAACGCTCTTTTGAGTATATGAAGTAGTTTTTGACTAAAGTCCGTGTTGGAAGTGTCCTACTTTGCTTACAAAGACGTTGGATCCCTAATGACTTGTGTAATTAGATGAAAAGGACACTCGATGACAGGCTGACGGATGCCAACACCTTCATCTCCTTTATGATAATTAAATATGATTAATGAATTATGGTATATACTTATAAAAAAGAATCTTATTATCCATATTAGTTAACGTAATAATCAAGTTTCTTATTATGTAGCAATTTATTAGACTAGATTCAGGTTACACATCCCTACTAATATTATAAATGCGAAAGTAACTCTGTCTGTCTGTCTGTTTGTCTGTCTGTCTGTCTGCTACGCTTTCACGCCTAAACCACTGAACTGATTTTAATGAAATTCGGTACAGAGATAGAGTTGACCTTGAGAAAGAACATAGGATAGTTTTTATCCCAGACTTTTGAAAGGTTCTCTTGGAAACGCGATATAACCGAACTCCACGCGGCGAAGCTGCGGGCGGAAAGCTAGTAAAATATATTATTATGTATGCAGAATACTATGAGTGTATTATGTTAAAATTATGGTAGTACCCTCTTTTATTCTAGTCACATGCTCATTTCAAAGCGCAGTCTGCATTTCTAGTTGCATGTATTTATTTAAATCTTAATTGCATACTCCGGCGACCTTGTTAAACTCAAGAGCTTCATTTAAATTTTACTTTTATACTGAACGCCATCTATGGAGCAATAGGTTGTAAATGGTTTGGTTTCTGTTATGCCGACCAAGTTAATGTATAATATTTCGATTAATTTTTAAATTAATCCTTTTAGAATATATGTTGATATATTTATATATAAAAATACACATATATTACGAAAAATGGGATTGAACTAAATGTCCTTAGATGTACATGTATCATTGTCTATGGTTTGACCGTGATGTTTCAGCTGTCAAAAAGTTTATATAGGCGTAGAGGGAGTAAACTGCACAACTAAAAGCAAAACGAGCGATACTTTAGAATAAAAGCTTAAATCCCACGCTTAATTCAGTCCAAAGGATTCAGAAAATTTGTAATAGCGGCTATATTAAGACTAAAAAGCAATTTATCGCTTCATTGAATGAGTTATTTCTCAGCAGTATGAATTGATTTGAATCACAATGAAAGTGTTTTTAGAATAGCTGGGAGTTGGTGAAGTGTTAAGGAGAGAAATTATCTTTAACGTTAGGATAGATCGTAATTGCTAGATATGGGTGACAACGGCCCCTTTGTCGCGAAACCGGCTCGAGGTTGGCTACATCCAGATTCCGTATTAGCCAGCGATGGAATAACTTATGCAGTCAGAGTGAGTTTTTAAAGAACTTGACCCTTAGTGTATACATAAAGTATATAATTTATGTTTACAAATTTAGTGATAGTTTTAGTACTAAATATAGTGTACCCTTACATTAGTTTTGGTTGTGGAAACTCCTTATACATTACTTGTTTCATTTCCAGTATATTGGTTGCATGGAGGTCCTTACATCTATGAAAAAATTAGACTTTGAGACAAGATCTCAAGTAGCAAAGTAAGTAGATGATAACACAATGTTATATAGTTTTAGATTTTAAAATTGTAGCCCTTTCTAATCCATGGAAAATAACTAGTGAACAGCCCAACCGTCTTACAGATTGAAAATGACTAGTACGGATTTTAACTAATACAGAAAAATTAAAATAAATATTATCAATACTCCCCTTAATTTTTGATATGTGGAATGATTTTAGAGTTGTATATATTGTATATTGTGTTTCAAATATTGTTTAGAACTAAAAGTGATGATGCTAAATAAGTAAAAATGTAATTAAATTAGATTAAAAAATACTTAATCAATTGCCTAAAAATGTTGCAACTAAATTAATGTACAACATATTTATGCATTTAATTAAATTGTAGGTAACCTACATATGTGAAAAGAGAAATAAATATTATCTGTCTTTAATAAATCTAGAGATTGCACAAAATAAACATGGAATGTTTGTCTGTCTGTGTATTTACAAACAAGGTGTGCAAAAATGATTACGCAGAATTGTTTACCGTTTTAACTAAAATTTTCATTATAAAATTCCTTTTAATTCAGGACAATTTCTTAATATTTGTACATTATTAAAAAGTTAATTAAAAATTGTAAAATTACTTCACCAGAGACAGAATAAGTCACAGCTTTTAATTAATAGGTATTAATAATAATAATTCTATGAATCTATAGGGAATGTATTGCAAGAGTATGTGCTGCGGCAGGATTAAGAACGGCTGATAAAAAGCGTAGAGTTTGTCAAGCAGCTGCAAACGCTTTAGCAGCTAGACCTAGAATGTCACATTCTGGCTCGAATGTAGCTTTAACAGTTTCATCGAGGGCTATAATACTAGCGGCTCTTGAAGGAGGTGAAACTATCGCAAGACATGATATGCCAAGGGTATCATTTGCATCCGGAGGAGATCAGGCAAGCAAAGTTCTTAATTATTAACTTCTATATAGTCATTGCCTTTTCCCTCCCTTTCCTGCTATTTCCCTATTCCTACCCCTCCCTTTTCCTCAACAATTAAGGTTGGCAACACATCCGTAACATCTATGGTGTGTTTGTCCATGGGCGACGGTCACTACTGCCCATCTAGTAAGCTGTCTAGTCATTTGCCACCTTTGACATAAAAAAAAATGTCATAATGCTTAGAAAATATATATTTTGATGTGGAATGTTCATTAATAACAAGAATATTAAAATAGAAACATTAAATTTCAATATTAAGGGATAAAAGTTTATAATTGTGTGAGAAGCAAGACATTAATACTAACAAATAGACATGAAGAAAAAAACATTAAAACCTTATTGTACTTCATGGCTGCACTACCTTTGCTTTTTGTGTTGCAAGAAATGGAATTAAAAAAAAAAAACAATAATATAAAACATAGTTCATTAAGATTATGTAATAATTAATTCAATGATTTTTAAAAATAAATATTGTCATTATTTTATTTCTACACACTTATTATTTTTGTTATTGATTAATTTGTCCTGTTGTAATTGTTATGTTATTTTATTTTCCTTTTTTTGTATACATGTGATAAGTGTTACTCTGTTTTTATTTTGTTGTTTGTTTTGTAGTGGTGTAATCTTTTAACCAATAAAATTTATTATTATTATTATTTTTCAGGATTCATTAGATTTTGTGGCGTATGTGGCTAAGTCTGCCCCTCCAGCGGAATGGAGAGCATGTTATGTATTAGAGTGTGGTGGTAGATTGGCTCAAGATGTCATCGCTACCATCGGGCAGGCGTTTGAACTTCGTTTTAAAGAATTCTTAACGAAACCTACATCGTGAGTCACTTTTTATATTAAAGAGAAATTTTGGACATTTTCCTTGTATGATTCACACATGTGATTTCTAAGAAGTGGCCAGTGGCTATTGCTGTGACAGATAATAATTGATTTCATGACTCATTGGTATATTCATATTTTGTTTGAAAATTTATTTATTATTTGTAATGTGCAATTGTTTACTATTTCTGATGTTATTATAAGAAATATCTAGCAAAATAGTTTGTACGAGACCTTCAGAAAATGCTATAATATTCTCAAATGGTTATATAACTTGCAAAAATTTAATTAACATATACGTAAGTGAAATAAAGTGCTTACTATAGCTAAAAGTTTCTATACTCTCTAAACCAAAATAATATTAATTTCAGCCTTAACATCAATGGCTCTCGTCCAGTATGTGGTTCTTCAAGCGAGGGTTTGGAAGAGCGAGAGTATTACAACGACATGCCTGACAAAATGCCCCCGGAGCCTACCAGTCACAGACACCCGCCTCCCCCGCCGCTAGCGACACTCGCACCTATATCATCGTCAGTTGAATATAATAACAATTATTATACATATATACTAGCTTTCCGTCCGCAGCTACGCCCGCGTGGAGTTCGGTTATATCGCGTTTCCAAGAGAACCTTTCAAAAGTCTGGGATAAAAACTATCCTATGTTCTTTCTCAAGGTCAACTCTATCTCTGATCCAAATTTCATTGAAATCAGTTGAGTGGTTTAGGCGTGAAAGCGTAACAGACAGACAGAGTTACTTTCGCATTTATAATATTTAAGTAGGAATAAAGAAAAATAATCTAAGGAATATATACATATATCATGGTCATATAACAAGTTTTGCATCGTCAAACCACTTACAAAGCATTCTAGTTTTTCATTTATAAATCTTAAATTTTATATCTTGTGTGATGGAATTTTATAGTATAAATAATAATGTGTGTATAACAGTAAATAAACAAAATGTTGTGATTCTAATTTCTAACATTAGTGTTGTGAGTAAATAATTAGTATCGGTATTTTATCTGTAGATGTGAGGAGAGTGTACGTCACTATGTCAACCAAACCCCTCCACCACGAACACCACCGACGGCGCTTCTGCCTAATCATCACACTGATATATTCGACATGCGTAAGTTACATTAATAAATGCTACTAAAACTTTTGATCCCAATAATAAAAAGGTTAGCCATTGTTTGGCTATCTATCACTATACTCCAGCCACATTCGATCTGGAATTTTAGTAAACAAACAATGAGTCAATTAGGGTTGATACACTCTTAATAAAAAATAATTATTATTATAATTACAACTATATTCATTATAACACAATATCCTGTTTAAACACAAAAATTTTAATTTAATATAGAATCCAAAAATTTTATTTAGCCGGTCAATACATAATTTATATGAAAATTAGCTTAAAATAAAAGTTTAAAAATCTTTAATTAATACTATAATATTACTACAAAACAAACAACCCTATATTTTAATACTGACGTAAAGAAATCGCAGGTTTGTAACATTTGGAGTGTTTTTTAATAATAAATATTGTATTTGTATTTATAATAAAAATATATACTACTAGCTTTTGCCCGCGACTTCGTCCGCGCGCCGGCCAGCGCAGAGAGCGAATTGGTTTTGTTTCGGAGTTATTTATCATTGTAATCTTTAAAGTTTTTTGTTGAAATTAAGTTATGTCAAAGACAATTTTATTCACAATAGACATTGCACGCACATGCGCAGTTCAGCTACGCACAATCAACATCGCGACGCGATGCAGCGAAACGCTTGTTTAACTATAAAAGTTTTTATATTGGCGTAACTATAATACTTAGATATACACTACCGCGGACTTTTCTGTAGATAATAATGCGGTCAACAAAATCGTAGTACATAATTTTGCTCCATCATCAATAGTTATTGCAGCGATCGCGATTTAAGGTATTTCAATAGTGATTTTTATCGACCGTGGTTTATGTTATCGAAGTTTTCGCAAGGATCCCAAATTTTTTCAAAATAAAATATAGCCTATGTTACTTTGGAAAGATGTGCAATCATAATGGTGAAAGAATTTTTAAAATCGGTCCAGTAGTTTTTGAGCCTATTCGTAACAAACAAACAAAAAAATATTACCTCTTTATAATATTAGTTTAGAATACACTATACTAATACACTACCATACCAACAGACATTGCTTTTTCCAGTATTAGAGCAATTGTCATCTCAAACCTTCCATTGACCCATTCAAATATATACAAAATTTAATCTAAATGAGTCCTGTCGTTTGAGAGGCGATAGATAAAGTTAATAAATTGAATTATATAACTACGAGGTAATTTCTGATATCATTTTAAAATTGGAGGTATCATTTTTGAGTTCTACATTTAATTTCAGATCATAAGTATTATAATTATAACCAAGAATGCGCTTAGTCCATTGTCTTAAATATTTTATTATTAATCATCAATTTTAATTTTTATTAACATCAAAAATAATTGTTGTACATATATCTAAAAATGTTTTGAGCATCTGCCTGACGTTCGTTGTTAAGCAACGCTTTGTTATTAAACATTCCACATCGAATTTGGCTGGAGTATAGATGGTTTTTTGCAGGAAATTGAAGTATATCTTGTTGTAATTATTGTTATAATTTTAATCTACTTAAAGTATAATTGGGTTTTTGAAAAAAAAAAAAGTATTGATTTTTTTTATGTATTTTAAAACTTTATTATTAATTATATTGGATTTTTAATGCAAAAAACTTGAAATATATTTTTTAAATTAATTATAAACAATTAAAAATTGATAAAATTCAAAAATATATCACGTGACTGTAAACGCGCCATGATTGGTCAGCATACTTGTGACGTCATAATGTTAAAGCAATTTCATAATAGTACAGTGTTTATGGCTATTATCTTTAACTTGATAAAAATATCTCAAATTTATTAGTGAAAAACGATTTGAAAAGTTTATTTCGACTATGTGTGATAAAGGATTTATAAAAGCAAAATCGGATAATATTCCTGATGTTAATATATTTTTATGATAACTAATTTTTTAAAAAGTGCGGTTTAATTTTGCTGAAGTTCGAGGTGCTAAGACATCAAGGTAAGTCTGTCAAAAAATACTATTCTAAATGAAAATTAGTATTTATTCTCTATTAAATATAATTAATAATTATTTCATTAAATCATTATTAATAAAATGTTATTATAACATTATAAAAAAACCAAAATAACATATATGTACTTTAAAAATTTAAATGTAGTCTGATACAGAACCTAGAATGTTATAAAATTATGAAAATATCTATTAATTGAAGTCCAATTATTAGACAAACATATATATAGATTTACTATTTAATCGCTTTGAATTATCAATTAAAATTTTTTAATGCTACGATTCTAAAGGTTATGATTTGGAGCCCAGGTAAAAAAAATTAATTATTGAACTATACTTATTCGATTTATACACTTAGATAAATAATAATTAATAACAATACTATTATGAATACTTACAACGAAATGATCTTCACAACAACAAAAAAAAAATGATTTTGTTTTTGAATAATCTCGATGCACTGCTTGAAACCATTTCTTTCGACGTTTTTCGTCTTGTGGAACATTTAAAAACATTTTTTCAGGAGTTGTTTTTGTAGTCTTTGTACATAATGGTACAAAACTTTTGATTATTTAACAATGCCAACAGAATTTACTAGATAAAAACTCAAAACACTGTACTAATTATTATATCTCTGTATGCTACAATGAGCAAAAACTAACATTGTGACGTCACACGCGCTCGGGTTTATTCCCGAGCTGTCGGCTTGTTTTCGGTACTGAATTTAAAATTTAATTTTTATTTTGAAATAACTTTTTAAATATTGCAAAAAAAAATAAAATAAAAATAGTTTTGTTATAAAACTTATATATGATCTTTCCATTTATCACAAAAAAAAAATTTATTCAAAAACCCAATTATCAATTAACTAGAAGACCCGGCGAACTTCGTTTCGCCCTATAATCAAGAGATATCTGTTACGTTTTTTTATTTATATTTTTGGAGTTTACCTATTAAAGCCATAAATCTCCGTGTTTTGAAGTGATTAGGAATGATTAATAGTTAATATGAGAGTTACACTGAGCTAGCAAAATAATAATTGTCAACGTTACTACTACACTTGATGCACAAACAATAACGATGGCCGACAACTGTGTAGGGAGTGAGAGAAGTCTAATTGTGTGAGAGAAACAGAAGACCGGCTTCGTTCTCATCCCTACTCCGTGCTGTTTACTGGGTCAGAAGTGACACCTGTAGATATCTGGCGGGGATAACTTATTAAATGACGATTGATCAGTTATCGACCGGAGATGAAAAATGATTAAATTACTAAAATAGCTATTAAAAAATAAGGGTTGATCGTAGAAGGGTGAAAATTTAGGATTGTATGTATTTTTGTACGTTGTATCATAAAAAAATAGTAATTAAAAATTTTGTCTAAAAAATAAAAAAAAAAATTTAGGGACTACTCCTAACATTTAGGGGAATGAAAAATAGATGTTGGCCGATTCTCATAGCTACCGAATAAGCACAAAAAATTTCATCAAAATCGGTCAGGTTGTTTCGGAGGAGTATGGGCACGAAAACTGTGACACGAGAATTTTATATATTAGATATAATAATCTAAGTAACGTTATTAATATATTTCAGAGCCGTTCACAGCGGTGGCTGCGTCATCAGCGGCGTCTACTTCCCCGTCAGTAGTAGAGGAGCCTCCGCCGGCTCTCTCCGCGGCCGCTCAGTGCGCGCTGCTGGCCCGCGAGCCCTGGTATCATGGACCTATATCAAGAACAGCTGCTGAAAAGGTATATACTATATATAGGAAGAAATTATTCCTTTCCCTGCATTATATGTGGGATCGGCATAACCTATTCTTCTCTTCCATTCTCATCTATCAGCCGTCATCGTAACAGTCACCCCTTTACCCATGTCAACCTTCATGCAATTCATTCATATTTTCCTAAGTCTAACTCAAACAAGAACAAAGTCTGTATAAGAGGATATATATCATCGTTAGAAAAGGCAAAAATTTACAAGAGTGTAAGACTTGCTTAAAAGCATGAAATAAACTGAAATGATTTCGTGAATACATTCTTAGAGCATGAGAATATAATCTAGTTATAATATTTCCATAACTTTGTTTGGTTAAGTCTTGTGAAAAAGAAAAGCTTTTATACTTGATATATTTGGCATGATGAAAATAACTTTTTACTAAAGTTATAATCCAACTGAACAGGATTTAATGAAAAATTTGGCTAGCAAATTATGTTTTTTGTATTCTTTGACACTTACAATCTCACATAGGCTGAATCAAATATATCTGTAACTTCAGACATTATATTTGAAGTACCAGAAGGTAACACTTTGACTACTTCTTAAATATAAAATCTATTACATATATTAAATGGATCGACAGGTTTAATAAGATCAAATTAGAGTTAAAATGATGTTTTATAACTTTTTTACAAAAGAAATCATTCTAATTTGTTTTCGTATTTAGTGATTTTTATTATACAGGGTGACTGGTGAATTACTATCAATATTTAAGGAGAATACTCGGTACATGATTCTCATTCGAATTATGTAAAAAAAATAGGTACTTAATTTTTGACCAAATTTCCGTATAAATAAATAAAGCGTGGACACGTTCCAAGTGTTCCAAGTGTGGACGCGTGCGGCGGCGTGCTGATACAACACTACGCCGCCGCACGCGTTTCTGTGTGTGTGTGTTTATACCAAATCTGTAGGGTGTTCACACGATGCGTAATTAATTACACAACTTTTGGTTAACTTTACTTAGAAGTTTATTAATATTTATGTTATATTAATTTTTATTTTGTCATATATGATCGTCAAATATCACGTCCTCAAGTATCGATAGTAATTCACCAGTCACCCTGTATATTAGTATAGTTGTGAAAGTGATTTAAATAGTATTTGTAGGGTTCTCTATAGAAATATAGTTTGAGATGGGTAATACTTAAGAATTTTAGAGCTGCAATAGCAATATACAATGTTAGTATGAATACATACATGTGATATTTAAAGTTTGTATCCTCTGGTGTGGATTGTGCTTGCAATTTTTTTAATAGAAAAGAGTTTATTTTAAACAATATATTCCTAAAATGTGCCAAGCAGTACATTTTAATAATTTACAAGAAACAAATATAGTGTGACATATTTCTAAAAAAGAATGATTTTAGTTTGATTCATTCAAGCGGAGACCCTGAGAATGAATGTATCTAAACTATGAAACAATAAAACTATTACAATTACTATTATTATTACATCTAAAATCATAATAGTTCGATAGGAGTATATAGATGAACTAAATACTCAATGTAACCTTTATTTATATTACTAACACAAGATGTTTGTTATATGTTAGCTGGTAGTTGAGGACGGTGAGTTCCTGGTGCGTCAGTCGGCCGCGTGTCCTGGACAGTTCGTGTTGACGGGCGCAAGACGAGGGGCGCACAAACATCTACTGCTGGTCGACCCTAACGGAGTTGTATGTATACACACACACACATATATATACAGTAGAAACTCTATTAACCGGACTAATTGTTGTCGATAGGCATTCGGATAATCGAAAATCCGGATAGTCGAAAGTATGAAGAAAAGCCGGTTTTTTGCATATGTAGTTCACAATTCATAATACAATACGTATTTGGTAATTTGCAATTGGTAACCATGAATTAAAATAATAAGTTCAATTTGTTTTAAATATTTGGTAATTGTCATTTGACGTAGGTACGCCACTCTCAACAACACCACTCTCTTACGCTTTGACATTTTTTCCTGTCCGGACTCGTCCGTAGTCCGGATAATAGCGAATCCGTATAACTAAGGGCCGGATAATCGAGTTTCTACTATTTATATACAGTGTTTATATTTGACAAAATGTCCATGTTCTTGATATGCTTACATCATTGATATATATTAAAGATCTTAGGACGATCGATCTTACAGTTAAAGCAAGCTAATGTGATCTACAAAGAACTAGTCTTTTATATATTGAAACGTATTTTAAAAAGTATTTATAAAAAGGAATATTGAAGCATCAGTAAAGTCTAGTTATTATTATCTATCAATAATTCATATACTGTATATATAGCAGTTAACTTTAAATAATTCATATATGTATAACATATTCCAGGTGAGGACTAAGGACCGCGTGTTCGACAGCGTGCCTCATCTCATCAAGTATCACTGTACTAATGAACTGCCGATAGTATCTGCTGACTCAGCGCTGCTACTTAGACTCCCAGTACAAAGACTTTCCTGAGATAAACCTCGATATATATTCACATAACACAGTTGCTATGTGAAATGAGACTTAGGAAAAATTACATGGTATGTTCTGATATAAAATCATTAGATTCGTTCGAAACGTTCGTCTTTAATACATTTTTTCGTCAATATCACGAAAATCTTACGAGATTTTGTATTATTAGAAATCATGAGAACTTTTAAATTAACGTTTCATAGTTAATTAAGAGGAGAAATATAAACTTTGACATATTATGTGATGTAGTGACGACAAAATTATTATTTTATTCTAAGTTTAAAAATGCTTTATAGTATTTAAGGTCGAATACATATGAAGTCTAAAAATAATATGACTAATTTTTCAACTATAATTTATATTTATGTTCTATTTCTAAGAAAGATTCGTGCCTATCTCTATATGGCCTATTGATATCTTAAAATTATAAGGAATGTTTCCACTGAGTTGTATACAAATATCTTGTATAATACATACCAAATATCTGAATGTTCATAGACAAAGAACCTCAGAGGAATCTCTCATTTTTATTCTTTAATAAAACAAAAGATCACAGTAAAATCTTAATTTAATTGTTAATAAATAGCTACGGCTGGCTGTATTTATAAATTTCTTTATAAAACTATTTGTGATTTTGTCAACGACCTAATAATATTAAGATTTTATTAAATAATCAAATTGTATGTAAACTATATTTTGGTAATTAACTCATCTTTATTAATAATATTATCATATATTTAACCCTAACGACCTGTAGATGTGCCTTTAAAATTAGCAAATATTATAAGAAAACAAAAAATTTATAGCAATATAGTGATCACATTCTGCAATAAATATCTGTCTAGGAAGTACTTTATATGCATGCAACATTTAAAATAATTGAATAATTAATGATAATAAATTAAATTGCACTTTGTAATTTATCACCTTATAAATGATATATTTCTATTAAACATGTTATTTACATAATATATGTATGTAGATTCTGATTGAAATTAACCAATTATAATATTTATAATTTTGACAGTGACCTTTGAAGAACTTAGTATGTTTATGTTTTGGAAACCGAATTACCAACACAAAAGGTATTATTCATTATTGAATGGTAAATGTTTTTAGTTTAGTCAGTAGTTGAATATTAATATTGTGTCTAGACAGTACAGTTGTAAGCATTTAAAATGTTGATTTTATACAAATGATGTAACAATTAATTTGACTTATATTACATGTGAATGTCATAGAATGACTGATATGTTCATTCCTAATAAACATTCCTAGAAAAATGTAAATGATGGAATTGAATCGAAATTGTCTGTGACTGTGGTCGTTAATAAGTTGGCTTAACAATTATATATATTAAATCTCTACAAAATATATTTTTATATGTATAAAATAATATAATTTTTTATAATGTGACCTAAATATCTTTTGCAACATTTACTTCATAAATTTTTGCTAAATTAACCGTTTCATTTCACTAAACTGATATGTTATATACTTTTCATTAGATTTTTTCATTTTAGGCGGAATTTATTTGCTAGTCTTCACCAAATGTATTATAAGCGTGAAGGCTTTTTTGTAATAAGATTTTTAGATTATGTGCAATGTCAATACCAAAATGCATTCATTGATATATTACATTGTATGAATGTTATTCATTGTCTGTGTTCATTCGTTCATTGTATTTTATTTGGATGTGTAAGCTCTCTTATTTAGCTTTTTACTGTACTTTAGAATTTTATTATGATGTTAAGATACAACGATAGGTGCTATAAAGTTTACTTAAAATGAAATATATATATAGGAAATGTATTTATCATCACAAAATACATTTTTACTTTACATGAGACTGTTTAGAGGTTTTGTAATGATTGTTAATGTTGAATTTGGAAATTGTATGTTGGAAATGAAATTGTTTTCTATTTCAACGATGGTCGCACAAACATTGTATGTTAAGACAGAACATAGTTACGTACTTTTTGTACTGCATGTACCAGTATGTGCTTTTTTATCGTGTTTTATGATGAATGGAAGTCCTTGCAAACGCCTAAATACGTGTCATTTATTATGCTTTAAAATTAAAATACAATATATACAATATCAACTTAAAATATCCTTATTTTTTATTTAAGTGCATGTAATTTTAATCTTAGACCTAACCATCTTTTATAGATGTTACGTTCTTAAATAATTGTGATTATAGAAAATAAAGTATGCAAAATTATTATTGGTTTATTATTTTTTCCTATAAAAAAAGGAACAAAAAATAATACAAGGTAATGAGTTTTCGATACGTTTAATAAAAATTTAATATTACAGTATAAACAGTAAGGTCGTAAATGGCAGTGATGTTATCATTATGAATTACTTATAATTACATGAATATTCACTATACAAGACCAACGCTCCACTCGCCTTCCTGACGCTCTCGACACCGAAAATACAATCAACATTGAAATCTCACTAACATCAATAAAACTCCAAGAGAAATAACCAACAGGCCAGTGACGAGAGCTCTCCGCCAATTACTGCCGACCTCTAGCTAACCTTTGCCTAATTTTACACAAGTCCAAACAATAATTATGTCTACATTCCCATTCAGTTAAAAAAAAAACAATTTCATTTAGTCGTGTTTCACTAAAATAAATAAAAGTAGTCAGATGATCTAAAACGCGACAGAAATACCAAGTTCAGACGCGAATAATAAATTCGTCCAAGTTTCAGTGAAAGTTGGATACACGAGTATAACATTCTTTGGGACCTAGCAGCACTTCGCAGGCCCTCCTAAAACGCAGAGCCTCAATCCGTGCCTTTCTCCTACGAACTACTATTCGCTATGAAATTTAAATATTAAACTAGAATTCATGAAACTAAAATCGCAGGATGACAAAAAAATAAATAAATATACTTCTATACAAAAAATAATAACATTTTGTTGTGAACACCTGAGCAATTGAGACCATCCAATTATCTATCGAACCGAACCTTCCCCTTATGTATTACATTAAACCTATCGACTACTTAGTGGTGGCCGCTGGCCGGCGCCGTAATACTATGACATACTCTCCTAGTCGGCTATTGCTTACCGAAAATTGACTGAACAGTTTAACATTATCTCTCACAATTACAAAAGTGATCGAGGAGCTTGTAAACTGTAAACATTTTTAAGTTACAAAAGTAATGCTATCATCAAAATATCGTTACGACAATTTTATACCCACGAGTGTGTATTAAAAATAGATCGCGATTTTTAAAAAAGTTTCATTTCATATTTGGTCGAATCATGTCAATATTAATATAATACAGAGAACTAGCTAGCGTCTAACCTTTACGAACGAAGAACGAATCGGTGTCGACTCGGAACCGACGACGGTCACGAACGAAACATAAATCAATAAATTAGAAAGCTAAAAGAGGTCGAACTAAAATCGGAACACTCTCACACAAATAAATACAGGTACGTCGAAGTCCCTCGGACCGAATCCCCGAACACACAGCGCGTTCATTGAGACACAGGAGGCGCTCAGTCGGGCGTGAGTGCAGGCGGCGGCGCGGGCGCGGGTGCGGCGGGCGCGGGCCGGTGCAGGGTGAAGGCATCGTACACCTGAGCCAACTCCTCCATGTGATGTTCCTCGAGACACAGGAAGCCCTGTAGCGTAGCGCTCGCCCGGCGCGCACACGCCAGGCAGTGGACCACGTGGCGACGCTCGTGCTCGCGGACCAGCAGCGCGTGCCACACCTCCCTCTCACACGCGCCGCAGTAGTGGGACGCCTCGCCTCTTGCTCGGCCGTGGAACCTCACGGGCACCCCGCGCGCGCGCACCGTCTGCAGTGTGCCGGCCGCCGCGCGGAGCGTCTGCAGCAGACACGTGCGCATGGCGCGGTGGAGGCGAGGGTCCGAGACGCGGATGTTGCGGGCCAGGTTCCACGTGAGGTGCACCATGGGGACTATCGACTTGAAGTTCTGAACTTTGTTCCACTCGTAGCGCTCGAGAGCGAGCGAGTACTGCCTGGCGGTGAGGGGCCCGACGTTCCAGGCGATGTTGTTACACCAGCCGGTGGCCTGCACCCAGTGCACGCAGCCCGCGTTCACCCACACGAGGTCGCCGGGCCGCTGTGTGAACCGGTACACGGGCACGCCGTGCGCGCGGAGCTCCTCGGGGTCCGGCCACCACGAGCCGTGGAGATAGGACAGGCCGTGTCGGTCACACAGCTCGCGGACGCCGCCCCAGTACGAGTCGGGCACACCGAACCACTCGCAGTCTCCGGGACCGATGTTGATGTTGATGGAGCAGAAGTTGTTGTTCTCCTGATGTCCGGGCGTGCGGCTGCCGGGGACCTTCATGTACAGCTGCACCGTGTTCATGCCCAGGATGACGTGTCCCACGTGAGACAGCATGTTAGCGGCAGAGGCCACCCGAGCGAAGGCCGGTAGCTTCTGCAGCTCTGTGAGCTGGGCGCGCCACTTGCGCTCGTCCGATAGATCTACGTTGGTTCCGAAACGCAGCATCCGAGCGGCTCGACGTCGTTTGGCGGGGCCGGAACCAGACTCGCGCCCGTCCGAATCAGAGAGCGCGCCGGCCGAATGAGCGTGTGCGGGCGCCGCGCCACGCTCACGCTCCTCCCTCAGCGACTCCTGGAACGACCCCGCCTGATACTGCGCGTATTTCCTCACAGTAGTATGTGAGCGGTGTGAGGCACACGCCCACACCCGTCGCCGGCCGCTCGCGTCCCAGTTCTCGTCCGCGGACTGCATGAGTTGCGTGCGGACCTCAACCGCGTGGTCCGGCCACGCCTCCACCAGCGTCTTGGTCGAGAAGAGGCCGAGGTCCAGTTTCAAAGCGGCGGTGAGACCTCGCACCACCGCGATCGGGTGTTTGAGGCAGAAATCTTGAAGCTGCGGTGAGAAGGCGTCGCGTTTGGTCTCCACGTAGACGAAGGGCGCGGGGGGCGCGAGCTGGTCGGCGGTGAGGCGCGGGGGAGGGACGCCGGGCGGGTCGGGGGGCGGCGCGCCCGGACCCAGCACCGACCACGACGACGGAGGACCGGCGTTCTCTCTGCAGGAGATACATTCTGTGTCACTACATATTCTTATTAAAACAATCAAGCCACATTCTGTCAGTCACTCACTTGCATGCGTCCAGTATGTTCTTAGCGCTCATGCCGATGTTGAAGGAGACGGGTTTGAGCGGGTCCGTCTTCAGCGGCTCCAGTTTAACCACGGGCTGTCGGCCGCCGAGCATAGCTTCGTTACTGGAGTTCAATGGACTCCCTGATAACAAAATAACAAATTAATAAACAGAAACTACCTATTATACAAAATTATAGGAATTTGACGAATGGAATCACAGAAGAACGACAGAAAAAAATTACACTCAGAAGCAAAGCAATGTTACAAAAGTTTAAAATAATTCTTACATATTTTTATACATACTTTAAATTGTAATAACGTGTGAAATTATCAATTTGTCAATGTGTCATGTCAGTGACATGATAAATCGCAGTATAAGCCAAACTTTTTTAAGGAAAAATTTGAATAGAAATAAGTTTTTATAGTTTAATATTTCAAATGTACTATAGAATTGTTTTAGAATAATTATTATGTTTATAAAGAGTTAAACATGATTATATATTTCTTGTGAAATTTTGATTGCGGTATATTTAAATTATTAAGAAAAAAAAATTGCATATTTCATAATAGTTCTTTATGTAAGATAAGATTATGTTGGTTTCTCAAAAAATTTACAACTGAATATTTTAAAACAATATTATTTCTCTTTGTCAGTTATGTCTGTTAAAAGAATTACTTCATAAAAACAGAATTTTAATTGGCCACTTAAATAATGCTACTTAAGCGGTGAGGAAAATAAAAAAAATGCTGATAGTTAAAAGAATTTTTGGATATTAAAGAACATTATTAGTAAGTTAAAAAATCGAACTAAATCTTCCTCCTTATTTGGAGTCGGTTAGAAAATGTTTGTACCGCGACGTATCACATACAAATTGTTACGGAAACAGACTATGATATCATATCATATGAATAAAACCGCTTCCTAAACTGGACATTACATTATAAATATATTTAATGCTTTTAATTGCAAATAAGTGAAGAGTTCAATGTGATATAAATTAAACATGGTATATTATGAACATTTTATACGCAGCAAGAAACCTCGCACGTTAATATAGTGTTTGCCAACATAGTCTTTATAATGGTTGAACCTTCGTTAATAAAACGTTCACTAGACGATATAAGTTACAGGTCCACAAGTATGTTATGTAGAATACATGGAAGATAATCCATACAGATGTGCAAACCAAGTCTCGGGACGCAACTAGTTAAAGGAACTTATTTTTAAGCAGTTAATATTATGAATGAAAAAGTTTGTGAACATGTATGGACATTTCTTGCTCTCTAACGCAGAAACTACTAAACGGATTTTGATTAAACAGTCCAATAATATAGCTCTAATACCAGAGGAACTTATAGGCTGAGATTAATTTTTAAAATCGTGTAGTTTCATCAGGAAGAAGGCATGAATGCTCTATTTTGTATAATTTCGCGTTACACGCCATAGATGGCGCTACCAGTTGGTTACTATATGTATATTATTTTATATTTACTTCATTACTTTACTCCTTATAATTTCTGTCAGAACCTATTTCCGAGGATGACGGGGAAAAAGTAGTAAACATTTGTCTTTAATTTGTTACTCACAGTGAAAAGCATCTCAAAAGTTAATGACTTTAGAAAATTATTCAGTTTAAACCTTTTTCTGTCAATCTGCTTCTAATTTAGATACGTAGAGTTATGAAATGCTAGTTACGAATGTACATGTTCGAAGTACAGTATCAGGCTTGATTTTTAATGTTCAATTTTACTTCCATTACAATGGCTGAAGATAATATTTATAATTTTCAAATACAAGGTGACATTTAAATGTTGCCATTACAAAATTACAATGTTTCAGTACTATAATTAATAATAATCAGTCATATAAGTGGTTCTACGGATAATAGTATATTACAATTAGTACGGCAATGATGGCGCCACTAGTAACATACACAATCACCTACGATACTTGTAAAACCAATACTAATCGTAAGTATACTCACTAACTGCGGGCTCCTTCTTAATATCAGGCTGTGAGTCTGTGAACTTCTTCAACAGATCCTCTGCCAGCGACTCGGCGCTGTCCCCGGCCGCGCTGCCTTCACTCTTCGCAACCTGAATACATCATTATTATTAATATCTCATATATTATATATTATTATTATTATTATTAACTATCCTAAACCTGCCGCCGTTAAGTTTTGGGGTTTTAATACAAACCGAGCGAGCTCTCGCCGCTTGTGACAAACGGTATTGAGACAATAGCTGCTGCATCAGCGCCTGGAACACGATAATTATATAATGATGTATTTTATATTAACATATAGTATTGATTTAATAGTTATTTGTACAGTGTAATGGTACTATACAAATTTACTATTACTAGAACACTATTCATGATTTCTACAGCTTAATTTATCAAACTAGGTACTTGTTGTTGTGGTGACAGGTTATGTGAATTCCTCTGTAAGTATTGCAGCGTTTGCAGCTGATGATGGCTTAGCGATGCTGGTTCCTTTGCAGGTCCAGAAGTTCCCGTGGTTCCTCCAGAGCTTGCAGCTGTTCCCCCCGAACTGCCTCCAGCTGCTCCAGGATATGGAGGGGGCGCGGCCTTCGGAGCACGTGACGACATCTCAGCTGATATAGGAAGATTCCAGGCCTCCTCAATCGAAGGTAAGGGACGACGTCTGGAAATTAAATTAAAATAAATATAATACTAGCATTAAATATATAACTAATACCAAAAAACAACATTTTGATGGACAGATATTTAAAATATTAAATAACATACCAAAGTAACGTCAAGTAACTGTAAATTATTACGTTTTTTTTATAAAACTTAGTTCCCATCGTGTGTATCATTTGCATGAGAATTAAGCAATTAAAACAAAACCGCTATGTAGATAATATTAAACTCGTTTTTGAACGAAATTAAATTCAATAATGTATTATATATGTAAGGGTCATAGCTCCTTAGGAATCGTTCTGTTTAATATTCATTGTAGAACTTCCTTTGTTTGTCAATAACGTTGGATTTAAACCAACTGTTATTAAGGATCCGTCTATTAGTAACGATGTTGCCATTATTTCGTACTCAACATATGCCATTTAATATTTTTATACTTGTATATAATTTATATGTTTGTCTTAGAAGTGTTAAAGTTAAATTGATCTGTGAACTTATTGCGTTTAATACTCAAATAAAATTCAGTTACAGAATATAGTATGCAAAATTTATATGTACTGAGTAGTATTGAACTTGTAATATGTGAAATGATGCGTTCTATTAACTATTTCATCTGAGCTATCGTGTCTTTATACTATTTTTATTTTTACGTGTATATATATAAAAAAATACATATATACTTATATAGAAATGACAATTTTCTTTTATGATTTTGAGTTCACTTTATAAGCATTTTTAGAAGTCGATGATCACATTATTTATTTACATTAAACATTGAATGAGTACCACAATCAACAATTACACAAAGGGAAATGCGTTTAGCGAATTTCTCTTAGAGATAATAAATTTAATGACTCGATTGAATTGCTAATATTAAAAATTTAATACCAGATGGTTTTCGAGTCTATAAGTTTATACAATTTACCAGATTCCATTAAAATCGATTCAGCGATAATAATCATTATTCCATTTATATATTGTTTTGGCTTTTATGTAGGCAGTTATTAAAGTTCTGGGAAAATTATTGTTAAAGCGAACAGAAGTTAGTTATGAATTATAATTGCGTGAAATTTTATGTATGAAATTTTATAGTAGCTTTTCAATGTAAGTTATGAAATTATTGATTTAAACTTGAGAAGTTCGTCAAATTAAAGCATGTTATTTTTTATAAAAAATCAAATATGCTGATGTGGTTTTCCTTTTCTTACATATATAAGATTAATATTAAGAATCTTTTCAAGGGACTTAACTCGGGCAGGGGTGTACTGATAATATAGCTTATTTATAGTTTTAATATTAATAAGAATGTATGTATGTCTGTTATAAGTGCGAAAAGTACTTAACGATTTTTATGACTAATTAACAATTATGCAGCTTACATAATATGATAGAATAATTAAAAGCACTCGTATATGATTAAGTATATAGAAATAAAGTACGTGTAACTAACAGTATTTTATAATAGATATTAAAAATATATTCACAGATGATAAATTACAGAGAAATAAATATATACATCGTATTATTTAAGTAAAGATAATTTAAATGAAACTAATTTCTTCGGATTAATACGCGTTATTTTATTATTTTTAAAACTACATACTCCCGACAAAATGATAATGTCAAATCTACCAGTGACCACGGTTACTGCAAAGAAACCGAAACTTCGGCAGTATGTAGTTTAAAATAATAGATTAAATGAATACTCGCAAAAATCTTAGATTTCGTTTAAGAAAATATACTGCATAGGGGTTGTCCATTAATCACGTGATCTTTTTTTAGCATTTTTTAACCCCCCCTCCCCCATTGGTGATACGTAGTGAGGTTTAAGACCACCCCCCCCTCCCCCTTCTCAACATCACGTGTATTTTTAGTAGCTACAACGAATCTTAAAATTTTCTGAATATTATCTTAATTTAAATACAGGTATAAACTATAATCTTATTTTATTCTGAAATTAAGGACCATAATAAAAATGTCTACACCAGGTTGCAAGTTTTTTTTAAATATTTGTTTAAAAATCGCGCGTTAGACGAAAAAATAAATACACGTGATATCTTACTACACCCCCCCCTCCCCCTTGTGATATTTTCGTGATTTTTATCAAACCCCACCCCCCCCCTTTCAAGCCTCACGTGATTAATGGACAGCCCCATACGTGATTTAACTATACTATTACGTTACTCACTTGCCAGTAACTGATGGCATCGGTGCATGTGCTAGATGTGCCCTGAGGAAGGCGAGTCTCTGCCTCAATGGAGCGTTCCCCATAGTGGCAGCTGGTCCGCCGTTGTTGTAACACGCGAACGCATCCCTCGCCATAGAACAGCTCTCGTATAAACTGCCCAAGTTGGTCCACGCAGCAGAATGACCCTTATCTAATTGGACAGCACAGATATAAGCTTGGAGCGCGTCCATCGGCTGGTTCTGTTGCTGGTAGAGTACTCTGTGAATTATGGATAGTTGGATTATATAATACAGAAAACATACTACGATTATAGTAAGAGAAAAAGGAATTGTTAAAATATACTAAGACAAATTTAAGTTGTTTGTGATTAACTAACCCTATAGAGCACCAAGTATCAGCGTTCCCTTCGGATTTCTCGACTGAATTTCTATATGCGACGAAAGCGTCGTGCACTTTCCCCTGAGCGGCGAAGCACCTTCCCAAGAGGTAGAGCCCCGCGCCGGACTCGGGCTCCGCCATCACAGCCCGCTGGAGGCACCACACGGCCGCACGAGCCCGGGCTGCGGTCTCGCCCAGAGACACGCAACGATGGTACAACCATCCTGAGATATATACGATGATTGATCATTTAAGAACTATCTCGAGACTTATGAACTAACTTGGGATTTTGGTATTAAACTTGTGATTGCAATAAATGAGGTTTAGTTTAATAATATGTTTCTATACAACCATCCTGAACCATTAAGAACTATCTCAAGACTTATGAACTAACTTGGGATTTTATTAAACCTATAATTGCAATAAATGAAGTTTAATAACATGTTCGTGTTATTTTCAATATAGTGACATCATTCAATTTTATAATAGTGTGAACTATTAAATATTTATTTTAATATTTTATATAAATTGTTTCCAGTTTTGTCTCTATCGTCTTCTTCAATAAGATCGAACATAATATTCAAAAAGCTAGTTTAATATAATGTGGCAGGAAGTAATTTTTGGATTAGACTCAGCTGTAAAAGTAATATTAGTGAATCAAAAATTGCGTTTCAAAAATTTTAATGAATTTCATAGAATGTTAAGAAATTACAAAAAAAATTACGTGACTGGCAACACTAATTAATCGTAATTCGATTGATTTGACGTCACTAAATGAAACATGACACATACTGTATGACACATTCATCTTGACATCATTTAATAAACGTATGAGGTCGGCACATCCTTCCAGTTTAGAAACTACGAATAGGTATCTTGATAACATGAATACATTTCTCAATAATAAAGAACAAAAGTTTAAATATGTAAACATTCTGCTAGTCGTATTATTGTTTGCGAAACTCTTTGTAATACGCCACAGCTAGTATGAAACTCACTCATTTTCCATTTGTACTACACTTTCATGTTATGCATTCTCAAACTGGTAGAACCAGTTCAGTTCAACCGAGCTTTATGTTGAATCATTAGACCATCCGAGTAAACATCCCTATTTGGTAAAAGGAAACGAAAATGTGGGTAATAGTTAAGAAACATATGTAGTCGGAATTGCTTCCAACAACTCGTATAGATAAGAATCTTTTTTGTTTCACAACACGATCCTAGTAATAACTGTATTTTATTTTTTAACATAAAAAAACGAAATGTATTCGTGTTTTATTTAATAATCTTACCTAACTGGCGGCAGACATCAGCTTTCAAGGAGGATGACAGCTGCGGTTCTTTCAGTAATCTCTCGTAGGCATCTCTGGCCGCCTTTCTGAGTCCTCTCGCTTCCAGGAGGTGTGCAGCGTGGAAGCTGAGCTCGAGGCGTGTGAAGGTCGCGTCCTGATGCGGCGCTAGCTTCGCCCTTCGGAAGTGGACGGCAGCAGCGGCCCAGTGCCGGCGGGCCTTGAACATGAGCGCCAGCCGGAGGTGAGCGTCCGCGGCCCGGGTGAACCCAGGGGACACGTACAACGCCATCTGCAGCGCCTTCGTCGCCCTAATGTGGAAAAATTACCACCACCCAATGTCATTCGATACGGTCACACGTATCCGCTACTTACTTGTATTAATGTTTACATAATCTATAATGCTAACATGTTTTCAACAAAATAAGAGCTATTGTTACATTTATTGATTCTTTCGTTTTTACAAATAAAAAAACAATAAAATGTGACAGAAAAAAATACATCGTCAAGTCCATAGACCTCAGAATATCTTTGACCGTAATAAAAATTCAAACAATGAACAGCAATAAATGTTTTCAAATATTATGACGAGGGCAATGTCGCATTCTTATTCGACCGTCCCCGAAGGTCAGTAGACGCATTAGGGAGTCAGAGATAAAGCATTGATCTTAAAAACTACCTAAGAGTGCAAAGACCGCAATAAAACATTCGCCGCATTAGGATTTCTCAAAAGACCTTTTTTTGTACTGCTGCCTTAGAAATGTGTTTAACAAACTCAAAACTTTTTTTAAAATATTCAACAAAGCCGAATCGAAATCTAAACCGGTCCCCGTTTCGTTAAACTTCAGGCCCGATTATATTACGGCTATTGGATTCGACGAATATTACACCGTCTATTATTGGATGTAACATTATTCAAATTTTTTTTTCATCGCTGTTTTCGTTAATAATATCGTCATTTCGAACGCAACCGAACGCAACTCGAGTGGTCCGAGTGAGAATCGACTTGTCCATCCGTGGGGTTATTGAGGAGCGCATCACCAGAGCGTAACGTCACCGATGCGCCCGCGGGGTCGACGACCGTCTGAGGTACGTTCGTGCAATCGATCGGACGATGCAACCCAACGTCTAGACAGCGATCCCAACCCGAATCAGACGCATATAATGCCTTTATTTAGATGACCTCCGCTGACATTTGCGAAGACGAAACAAAGGAACGAGACAGGTGGCGTCCGGTGTTTACCCCGAAGCCTAAAATTAAATTCTGTTTACACACACATATGAAATGACGAACTCCTAAGAGCTTTCACCCGTCACGGCGCCCGCAAAGGTGACATACATTATACTTACGTATAACAATTTGCATTCATCGTTATACCGAGCCAGCTATCATTATGGAATGTCACGCAACATTTAAAAGTACCCATTTCCTGTTACCAAATAAAAGAATCCGTATAAAATTCTTCAGATTGAAAGTTAAGAAAAAAAAAACAAATCTCATGATCGGAAACTTAACGTTTGAAATGACGTAATTGTTACTGGATGAGAAATGTTACTCCAAGTTTCATTGAGAGTTATGAACACTTTGTTGTTTATGAGAAGAAAAAATAAACTTGAAGACCTTTAAGTATTTATTATACAAAATATTATTTTCTACTGTACAAGAAACATTCCTCGCTGTTGACGTCGAAAGATAATAATTTTAAAAGATAATACATGCAATTTAAAAGTATGTTTATTTTTATTAAGTTTTTTATTATTCAAGAAGTTAAGTTTAAAAACGTATAAAATATGTAAAATTATAAATTATACCAATTAGTTCAGGGCGATTTATTTTACACAACTATAGAATTAAAGTGTTGCATGTAAATAAAATATAAATCAATACCTTATATGTTTAATATAACTTTGAACCGTTGTTACTGTGAGAGGGTGGAAAGTTAAGTAAAGGTCAGATTCCTAATATTGTAATAATTTCTGTGTTATGTTATGTAGAACGTATTTGTATAATTTTATAAATTAGTGACGTATATTAAATCTAATGTTCGTGTTAAGTATGCTGGTTTTAATATTAATTTTAAATTTAATTCGAAACTTCAAATAAATTGAAAAAAATATATTTTCAATTTTGCCCCAAGCATCAATATGTTGCCACTAGTACTGATTTTTCTAAAATAAATATTACTAATAAATGAATTCATGTCAATAGCGATACATTATAATTTTTGCAAAATGTTAATTCACCAGCCATGAGCTGCGGATGCGAGGATAATTGAAAGAATATTCAGAACGAGTCAGAAACGATTATAATCCGGCTACCTGCCTTCTCCGACAACAAATTAACAATACTCTCAGGTAACAAAATTATGTATACAGCCCCACTTACAATACACGTGTAACAAACAATTCAACTTGCCATACAATAAGTCTATAGAAAAATACATTACAAAAAAAAAACGTAACCGGATTCAAGGAACAGCTGTCTATAGTGATTTAATATTAGATGTACCAAAAATGAATGCAACTGTCGACGGTATATGTAAATAGAAAGTCGGAAAATGTATGAGGAAGTATGGCATGCGGCGATACAGTTTCTATTGTGGGTAATAGGTGTGGACTGTGGAGGATGGCTGAGGTGTGAGGCGGGGAGGGAGGGGAAGAGGAAACGCCATGAGGCAGTTCGGGCTGACCCAGTTCTTAGCACTCGCGTCGGCTCAAGGACGGATCGCCCGCTATTTATAGACATTAATCGTGGTTCGTCATAGCATCGCATTCACTTTACATAACACAAGTGTAGACGGTCGCTAGGTGCGATCGAGGTATGACATGACACGTGATAGGAAACACACGGGCGAAATAATATTAAAGATATTAAATTAGCACGATGAAATCCATCAAATTCGCACGGGATTTGACCGTATAATCATATCCTATCCAATGAATATTTCAAGGTGAACTAATTAATTTCGAGCTTACTATAACGGAGTATAAATACAATACAAATGTGGTTTTCAGAGTTCAATATCGTCATTGATTAGATGCCTATACTCGTTACTCACGTGATGCAATCATAAGATACGATCCACCTGAGTGTATTGCATCACGACCTTGGTGCCACGGCAACAGAATGCAACTGCATTTATATACTTAGCACAACAAATATACAACGGAAATCGTACGTAAGGTTCCATCTACAAACTATTTATAGTCACTTATGGCTAGTACCATTTACTGCAACTATTTCCAAAATTAAGAATATCATTTATTTAATCTAATATAATCCAGTATGAAATATTTCTAACAGAATATTTCAAAGCATTTTTGTATGTAAGCCGACGCTTGCACAAATTATTGTGAACGTGCGAGGGCTCGTTTATCGCTGCCGTCATACCATTTGACCCACTTACATTCGATACGATAAACCAACAAATTCAAACATTATAATACAAACATTGCCAGTTTTACAACTATCATCATCCAGTTATTCGTAACGCCAGGGTTATTATGCTGCATGTATTCCCATTTACCATGACCTGCATCTTAACGTAGAACAATCATATACACGGATTCCTTTCAAATAATACAGCTTATACATCTTTATTATAACTCTTAAAACGATAAGATTATATTAATTGCATCACGTATAATAGAAAACAATGATAACAATAAAATTATTTATTTATGGATCGGCTTAGAGAATAATACGAGAATTTAATAACTGTAAAATTTTATTTCCCATCGTATGTATGTTCATAAATAAAAGTATGGATGCAATAACGTCTCATATTTACTATTTATTTCAATGACAAACAAGTAACATAGTAAGGAAATGTTAGATTTGAACCGGTTATTCCACTTTAGTAACCGAGCACAGCATACTGTAGTTACGGTACTACAGTTATAACTAACCGTATGCCGTATAATAGTATAAGAAATATATAATAATTTACAATTAATCTCACGACCATTATGATTAAACTAATTAATATAAATCAATTGACAAATATAGTTCGATATTTTACGTGTATATAGAAACTAAATAAAATCAGCATAGAAACTAATGGATAGAATGATAATGCAATGCAATCACGCACACATATAAACAGTTACCTTTGTATAGGAGTAACAATAAAACAAGCAATGCATTCACAACACATGGATATAGCAAGGCCGAGTAATGAGGAAGCAAATCGCTTTGAGCTCATCGCAGTAGCTGCATTCAATACGTCCGGATACCATTCGAGATGCATACTGCATATATAATAACAGTTTCATACAAGTCTTCATTACATTAAATGTACACGAGCCATATCCGAACAGGTTCCCCAGCTCGTGGGAACAACTATTTATTTATGTGCATTGTTTCACTTGAGAAGGATAATAACAAAAATCAGCTGTTTATCGAGATTGTTATTAAATACATTTTGAATAAACATGTCAAGGGGTACGAATACATGATTAATATTTATGTAAACCGAAAAGTTACTTCATTGTGAATACTGTGTACCGAGACACGCATAGGTTACGCAAAAATGAAGCTCCCCTAATACAAAAAAAGCTGAACATTCCGTGCTATTATTACATTACCGACGACGGAGTGCCCTTGAGAAGTACCCTAACAATTCATAGCACACAAGTGTCCTAACAAGTCCAATACTTATTTACATTCAGCTGAATTAAAAGCTCTGCCCCATCCCTAACATTGCAATTCGGAAGGGTTGAACCCTTTGTGAGAAATTTTAAAGCCGTCTACGTCATAGATTTTATGTCAGACAATAGCAAGGGCAGTGGCACATACGTGCACGAAACTAAGCGTCTATGGCCGTCTGTGATATTCATATGCATAACAAGCTTCTAGAGATCCATGAAACCGTGGGATGAGGAGGTTATCGTTGAACTATGATGTAACAGTGTCGCAACCAGTTGTCTCAGAGAGTAGGGCCCTTTCATAGCTACCTTTTTGCGGTCACCGGCCGCTTTCTAATGCTTATTGTACATGACTACAGACTTATTACGGACCATTCCGTGAGAAACTCTAGGTCCGTGGTTACGTTACACATTCTTGGTTAAATCGAGTACGTCAGATTCCATTCAGTGAATCACTATTTCTATGTAACTTATGACAGATAATTACGTATACGGTAAATAAGAACACCTGATAAAATGCTCTGATGACACATAGGTGTACGTAAGTTCAAAGAAAAATTCTCTGCAGCAATAAAGTACTGCTATCTAAAACAAACCAGACTAAAATAATAAAAGTCATAATGTTATTACAGCACTGACGCAATATTAGAAATGTTCAGCTTTTTTTTAAACAAACTCATCCCATAAAAAAAATATTCTTTGCAGCTTTTATATACAGACTAAACGCAGCCATAAAGAGTCCAACGTGTAAGTTGTCTATTATTATAACTATTTTACTATGAGATTCGAATTAAAATAACTAAGAGTCTCAAATGTTTTCGTCTGTAATATAATATCAACACGTTTATCCACAGTCACGATCGTAAGTGAAAATTATATATAATATTATTATTGTCATCAGTCACACATAATTAGTGTGTATACGAAGATTAGATGTGTATACTTTGAGTAGTTCTATCAGAGCCATCGGCGGCGTGGCCTTGTGACGTGTGTGTGACGCAGCCCTGTGACGCGGACGTTTTTTCGCGGAAATTCCTCAGCGGACGTCGCTCGCGGATCACATCAACTTTTGAGTGGACTATCGAGTACTGCTATCATTATGCAACACGAGTATCGATCCCGTCCGGTTGAACATCCTGATGTTAACTGTATGATAATTATTCATTAACATTATTAAAATATATGTAACTATAAAACAAAACTATTTCGTACTTTTATTTTCAGTAGTTTGAAAACAACCATGGAATTAATTCCTTTTTATGGTTTCATTTTGTTGTTTGAGAGCTAGTCTTCCAGCGCGTGTACGAAGAGCTGTTAAAAACTAGGGCAAGTTGCTTGACACAATTCATGTTGTTATGTATAACGTAGGTTGCCCTGCCACATGTAGGCGGATTGACGCAACCTAAACAATGTCGAAGGGCACTTTATTACAACACGTACCTTTCATAAACCGTGACTTGTCCTAACACTATATATAATATCGAATGAGAATAGTGTACGCTTTACTTAAAAGTAGTGAATAAGACGAAGAAATCGTTTGAATAATAATTGACTCAGGAAACAAGAATTTAAGGAGGTCATTGACAGGAGAAGATGCTTGCAACGACTGCAGCGAGCGAGTTCCGGTGCACTTCGACGCAGGTATAAATAGTTAGCCGTTAGTGTCGTCGACCGCTGGCTGTAACGATTGTACGGAACCACATATAGACATTGTTAAAAATGTTAAACTATTAACATACAGCTACTACAGAGGGGTTTGGGGTAGCGGCGCAGACGAACACAGACGGCAGCTTAAAGCGGGATGAAGGGCGAAGATGCTTTGGGGAGAGGACGCAGGGGCTAATAACGACTCCCTCATTCGACAATTCGATAGAGGTGGTTGCGCGCGCTGCCCCTTACTGGCCCTGTATGTAAAGGGCCCGTGCGTACGTGACGAGGAACACGATGATAAAGGGGGGAGAGGAGAAGGAGGGGGGGGGCTTGGTACACCCAAATATTGTTTTATCATAACCAACATGTATAGATTAAGTCTCGTATTTCGATAACGATAGAGTATTCTATAAAACATGAAACAAAACAGACTTGAATATTACTCGAAACTATTGCAAAATGAGGTAAAATATATCTGTTTCTAAATTTCCGGTTTGATCCGCTACTCTGTTACTATGCGGTCACCGATCCATTACTACAATCTTACACATTGTTGTAAGTAACTCGCTTTGTTTCACACAACTCATCCAACTACATACAACGACGATACGAAAAAACTTAAAACACATCATAGAACTGAGATTAGAAAATAAGATAACTTCGAGATTAGATTAAAAGTGTAATGACTGTTGAGTTGGATTTAAAAAAAAACAAGAAAGAATTGTTAATTCATTGCACGGCATGAAGTAAACGAGGTTTGAAACGGTCGAATGTCAAAAGGCGCAAGGTCAGTGCCACTGCATCTGCAAGTTAATTGCACACCCACATAAAATGTTGACAGCACGCGTCGAGGGGCGTTTATAACCGGTCGTCATAAAAATGCTCGTAAGATTTAAATAGAGGAACCTCCTTCTACAGCGAGGTATCGTATTGTTTTATATTACGAGACAATGGATGGTATATTACACCTTTATATCGTGTACCGAGCTTATGTAACAGATAATACGCACATAATACTATCTTTACTACTAGAACAATATGTGTAAAGTTATCATTTCGTATGTGTGTGAAACGAGTTGCTATGAGCGATAAACTGTGTTGATAAATGTATAACACACAATACACACGTCTATTGAATTTTCAGGACCGTAATGTATTCAACAAATCGCTTTTATCGAAAACAAACAGACATATCATATAGAAAATACATATAGGTATGACATAACGTATATGTATCGAAAGTGTTCTAGTTACACAGGACTCCTTTGTTGAAGTTATTAGATGAAAGTGCATATAAATCCAGCGGTATTGTCTAAGGAGTGAAGCAGCTGATGATGGGACAGGTGTGACCACAGCCGGCTTACACCTGCTCAGCACGTGCCACCGCAAGCTGTTCGATATAACATTAATAATGCTAACGCACTATTCGGTTTTCACCTTAGAACAGGACCAGCAGAAGCATTACGTAATAATAAGATATTGGAACCGACTAAATTACTAGAAGAATCGGTTGGACATACCTTGAATAACAATTCGGATATGAATCGGATAAAAAAATATATTCTAGTGAATACGATTCATCGGAATATGATAAACCTGCGTCGCTATGAATTAATGAATGACAAATAGTCGAAAAATCTTCTGCGTCCCGAATTCAAGATTCAATACAAAATATTGCGTCTTTGAAATGTTTGTTAAAATGTCGGAAGAAATTGTTGTCGGTTTAGTCTAAGCTCGGTCGATGGGAAAACTTGGTTACCGTTACTTTTAAAGTACACGGAGAATATGAAACCGGTTGGTAGATAAAGACGAATATCTTAATGCAACGGACTGGTGTTTTTATTTATGAAAAGTTATGAAATTAAAAACATTTTTTACATAATATCTGTTTTACACGCGCAATACTCTAGGTCAAGTTTGAGATAATCTTACACTAATTGATAACATTGACAATTTTAAGAATGGAATCGTAATTCGTAAGAAAATAGTTAAATTTCCGTTTTATTGTGTTTTTTTTGTATGATTTTAATCATTTAAAAACCCAAAAATTGTTAGCAATTCTCGTAACGTCAAGAACAGTATAGGTTTTTCCAGAGATTCAAACAAGTAATTACATTTCAATACGACATGCTCATTGAATTTCCAAGCACATCGTAGTACTACCGGTTAAGCCAATGACGCGTGGACAAAAATGCGCGAAACTACACATTATGCTGTCATGACTCACAAGTCACAAATCACAATACGTAACTCTTGTGACGTCCTGAAGCTATTGTTTCATGTTCTATTTGGTGGATACTTATAATATGCTACCAATTAAATTCACATTTTATCATCATTTACTGTGTAATAGATAATATCAGTGCGCATGTGACATGTATGGGAAGGGTACCGTTCACATATTACATGCTCGCCGAGGTCTACGTGTGTTGGCTAGCAATGAAGCACGAAGCGGATGCATTAGCCCTACACATTGTTTGTTGCGGTACAGCCGACTGCCGGCATCGCGTGCACTCCCGCGAGCTTCGTCCACACTCCACCGACCTACATATTATGCGACGGCTGGTTCATTATTTACTATCGGCGGTCGCACGCACCACTCGCCCTCCTAACATTTCACCCCCCACACCCTCCATCCCGACATCTCGTGGTATTTTTTGCAACTCGCTTCTATATAATGAGAAGAATCAGTCGACTACCTGCGAAAATACTACAAAAAAAAAACAGCACCAACCATGCACACAAAAAACGGACTTCACGGCGGATGCGACCAGCACGGCGGCCGTCGACGTAGATATCTACATTTCGGTAACAAAACAAAAACAGAAAAAGTCGCGTGCAAAGGCGACATGGGATACGGGCGGCAGGTTATGAGAGTGAGAGGGCACTAGGGCCGACGTAAACAAACCACGGCCGGGAGCTTCGACCGTACTCACCATTTCGGGGATCCTCGGATCCGGAGCTAAATTGATGAGGCCGCAGCGGCTCACGTAGTGAAGAGCGGGTAGGTCGTGGAGAGAAAAATATCAGCACTAGCACAGTCACACAGGAACGTTTAATAGAGGCACTCGATAAATTAAAAACATCGATAACGACGACGACGTCCCGTCCTACACTACGTTCGCGGCCCGAGCCGATGCAGTTTACGTCACCGCATCCCGCTCCCGACTGGCAGAACGCCGTGCGAGCGAGCGACGACCTCGCGCTGCAGCGTGCACCCCTCCCCCGCCCCCCGCGGACCCCGCCGCGCCCTACAGCAGGGCTCCCTCCCCGGCCCCCGAGCCCGCACCCTGCACAGCCCTACTGTTCCTGCGCCCCGCGCTCCAACTAACGTCCGGTGAATCAAACACAAAACAGATTATACTATCGCACTGAATATCTACGCGACATCTTTCAAAAGGACATTTTTTTTATTTCCAAATGTGTTCTTGAAGCTGCCAATAAAAATATACAGCGGAAACGTCATATGATTTATTCCCTCTCAGGCTGGATTTTATTTCAATGCTTTTTAAATGGTGAATATTAATAAATAAAACGAGTTGGAAAATAATAACTTCGCAGATACTAGTTTTGAAAATTTTTATGTTAATTAATTAGCAATATTATGTAAAAAAAATTAATAAAACGCTACAATTCTCAAATCAAGCTTGATATTTTGAAATTGATCAAAATAATTATTATTCATGAAGTAATAAGTGTTGTAGTTTCAATAATAAATTTTATCGATAAAATATAGTTTGGACACGTATCCTACTGAAATTTGTTATACGAAACAATTTAGTTAAAAATTCAAGAATGTCTGCATATTTACTAGCTGTCACTCAATAATTACTGAACGTATGTCTTAATACATTATGTGTGCGAGTTATTTTTGGAATTGACTTGTTAATTTCAGTGGCTTAACCTTACAGTTATATGAGACATGATTTAAATAAACTTATTGGCGGCCAGCCTTTGAGCTTTAATAGTATAGAAATAATTTCAATGCAAATTATCCGATTAAATCCGATTTCTGCGTCTACTTATAATTTATATTTGAATAAAAAAATTACAATGACGTCGAACATGTCACAACTTTAATTAACACTCTAACGTGAATTAATATAAAACCTTTTTTGTGAGAATTTAGTGTTCGTAGAAAAAAAATACAATATCATCAATTATGACATTGGTTGTCATAAGTTAGAGCTAACTTCATTTGACATACTGTCTGACTGACAGTTCGAACGTATTGCGTGAAATATTAAGTCTCTAATTGGTGAAATTGAGTAGAGCGCGTTGCGAGATTTATAGCCGTGTTTTGTATATAGTTATGTTACAATTCTCTACTGTTTGTTGTCGCTTCGAAATTCTGGTGATATAGAATTTTTATGCATATATTTTTGTGATTTCATTTTTTATAGGGTAAAGACAAAGTGGTACTGTTGTTGTAATAAACTTTCGTATCTGTAATAGTGATGTATGAAGATTTAAGATAATAGGTAAAAAATATATATTTTTGATTAAAATACATTGTATACGATTTTTTGGGACCGGGAGCAAAACAAACTTAGCGGCTTTCAATAGACAAATTACAAAAAACTAACTATTTCTCTGATGTGCGATGATGAATAAATATAATAGTAATTACTTTAAAGAAAAAAAGGTAAAATTCACTAAAAACGAAAACCTTAAACTACCATATTAAAAAAAAGTGTGAAAAAAATCTTAAGTCGTATTTTAATAATAAGGACAATTCCCCGTTTCAAGATCAAGCAGTTAGATACAAAAGCTTTGCTTTCGAAATAAGCCTTGGGCTGTATAAAATTTATGGCCTAGGTACCTGAATAAATTTGTTTAAAATATGTATTTACTAATTGTTAAGAAACTCCTTTGATTACAATGTGAAAGTTATGAAACTTCGTTCATTGATGTTTAAGATTTAATTTATATTAATAAAGTTCTGTTTGAATTATCGAAGATGTGGAAATGTAAGGATTTTATGTCATGACCTGACTGGCTGTGAGTTAACTGCTAATTAAACGTCGATAACTCGATATGTATTTACATCCCTTTAAGAATATATTGCATGTGGCTTTGCTCGCAATAAACCACTTTTGAAATACGCGTCATCATCTTTATGAGGTTTCTGAAGGGGATCAAATTTCAGGATCTTTGAGAATTTAAAAATCTGTGTTTAATTGCAGGAATAGTATCGAAACAAACATTAGTTCCAATTAGGAACTTCCTCCTTTTTGAAGTCGGTTAAAAGTAAGCCAAATGACGATAATTTACCTGCTACTGAAACTGCCACTAAAATCGGTCCATCTGTTCCAAAGATTTGGTTGAAGAAATAGACAGATAGACAAACATTTAAATAATGCCAAAATTATTAATAATAATAAGTTATTTTATACTTTTATTGCGTGCTATTTTATTTATTTCAATATATACATAATCTATAAGAATTACGTCATGGGTTTTTAGTTTTAAACATAAAACTCTAAAATAAAATTCTACTTTTGTAGTTGTATATTATAATATAAATTAATAAAGTCATAAAAAATAGTTGTAACGTCGGTGTTTCAAACTTCCGTTACGTAATATATTTCCTCGCGAAGGAAAGACCTTAAATATTAAACAAATATTACGTAAGCATCAATAATGATTTTCATTTTCCCTATTTCAATTACCTCACTTAAACGCGTTTGATATCGGATAATTCCAAAAGGTAAAACATAATTAAAATAAATAAATTTATATATACATGTTCGATTTCCTGAGTGCTATTTAATAAAAAAAATTCAAGTCACAAACTGTTTTGCTACCTTAAAACTATCGTTTTGCTTAATAAATATTTTGATGTTATTATTTAGTCTAGTTACAGAATAGGGTTAAGATCAAGTAACAAGGCCAAAGATACGGATATACTAAATTATTTTATTTGGCAAGACGAGAATGCTAAATGTAAGATCCATGCAATGAGTTTAGAAATGCCGAATGAGTGGTTACACATAGGAGATTTTAGTCTTCCATTAGTACTAGAATGGCGCACCTTAAATCACGATTGGTCACCAGCACAGCAAAAATTTTATTTTAATGCGTTCCAAATGACTCTCCCAGAACAGAGTAATTTAGTAAGAAGAAGTAAAGGTAGCAAAGAAAATTGCTTCATTTGCAAGGAGGCTGTTGGAACTGCTAAGTATTTGCTGGTGGGATGTAGGGTACTCCTGGATAGCGGTCAATACACGCGTGTTCACGGTAGGATTTTTAAAAATCATATGTGAAGCGGTTAGGTCTTTCAGTAGCCAGATCGCAAAAAGAAATTACCACAAAAGGAGTTTCAATAAAGAAGGCATTAGGGCTATAAAATCAGACGTCAAGCCTTACTTTATCCTTAAACTATAAGGATGGATACGTATGAGAACCGATATAAAATCCCAGAGGATGTTTGTTCGTTGGCGTTGTGTTAATAGAGTTTATGGTTCCTTGGGAAACCAACATCCCCAAAGACCATGCTACCAAGATCAATAAGTATTACGAGGTTACTAACGAACTCACTAAGAATATATTCGACATAAGTTTGTTCTTAGTAGAAATGGGAGTTAGAGGTATTACGGCTGAATCTCTCTACAACCTTCTCAAATACTTGGTCCTGTCCAGAACTAACATCAATTCAATCTTAGACCATACATCGAAGGCAGCCCTAGCAGAGTTTCATTTCAAATTTGGTTACATAGAGAGGAGCTTTGAGGTTGACAGAGAACTTTAAGAGCGTTAAATAGGGGACCTTAAAAACTACACCTTGGATGGAAGTCCCAAGCACTTATAAAGCTCCTCTCCCTGCGACACAGTGAATCCATAGAAAGATGAGAAGTTTCCCTCTCAAGACTACTGGAGATCAAGGTTGTGTTATACAAATATATAGTTAAAGACTTAAGAAAGACTGCTACAAAATAATAATACATAAGACATTCAGATAATTAACCAATTATTAAAAAAAATTAATACAAAAGTAGCTTAAAAGAATTACCACTAACTACATCGTCAAGTATATTTTCATGCTTAATGAATTTCTATTGATGGACAAAAAATAAATTATGTAGATATGGATTTTTTATGTTTTTAATTTTAAATAAATCCTAAACTCACGAATTAAAATTTACTGATTATTATAAAATAAAGAAACCTACAGAATAATTCGAAGTTATAAATATTTATACAGTAATGTTAGAAATGAAGCAAAAAGAGTATAATTTAATTATATACAGGAACAGCAATGCATGAACAATTAAAAGATATTCTGACTAAGTTTAATAATTTAAAATAAGTATTTAATCATAAAAACTTTGGAATATTATTTTAAATATAACTTCTATTTGCGACTGGCCATAAAAATTAAAAATTTGAAGTGGTAGTTCAGTCGCCAGATTATACAGGGTGACTGGTGAATTACTATCGATACTTGAGGACGTGATATTTAACGATCATATATGACAAAATAAAAGTTAATATAACATAAATATTAATAAACTTCTAAGTAAAGTTAACCAAAAGTTATGTAATTAATTACGCATCGTGTGAACACCCTACAGATTAGGTATACACACACACACACGCGCGCGTGCGGCGGCGTGGTGTTGTATCAGCACGCCGCCGCACGCGTCCACGCTTGGAATACTTGTAACGTGTCCACACTTTATTTATTTATACGAAAATTTGGTCAAAAATTAAGTACCTATTTTTTTTACATAATTCAAATGAGAATCACGTACCGAGTATTCTCCTTAAATATTGATAGTAATTCACCAGTCACCCTGTATATAATTCTTTGTATAATAATATTTTTCAATGTTTATACTCACCAATCAAATGCATTATAATGATAATAGCAAAGACCCAGGCCATAAAGGAAGAGAGGATCCTTCCAGTTGTCTTGTTCTAATGCATAGAACTTCTGATATGCTGACATGGCTGAAACAAATAATAAATTTTTTATCTATTTTATAAGAAAATATACATTTGAAGCTCGTATTATTGAAAGAATGATGCATTGTCTGTAAAATTGTGAATTAGGTGTATAAGTATACTAATGTAATGCAAAGGAAATCTTCTCATTCTCTTTTAAAAGTCGCTAACGTTGCTATAAAATTATATACTTTCTGAGTTTTTGTAGGATATGTTACTATAATTATTGAGATATTTATGGAAATCAAATATTTAAATTTAATAATTGGTCAAAGAAGAATACAAACATTGATAATATTGAACAAACATTGTCAAAAAGTAAAAATATAAATTTTATGTATTGGCACCTAAATATATTTTTTATATAATAAAAAAAATGTTAGATAATAAAGATTCTGATATTAAATTACATTACAAAGAAATTTTCCTGCTTTGTATACTCGATATAATGGCAACAACTCCCGCTTCCATAAGTTTGATTAAACCAATAGAAAATATACTATTCCATTAATTAATTATATTACACTAATATACACTAATTATACAGAATTTATAATTAAGAGATCACTTGAAAAAGCAACAGTAACAGCAGAAAATTCAAATATTTATCTTAATTTTTTTATCTCAACTCACAAAGTTGGTACAAAACATAACAACTTTGGAAAATATAAATACATATATAGATTATATAAGAAATAATGTTTTAAACATTCATACAAGTAAATATGACCAAAATGCCATACCATGTTTAACAACACAATAATGGGGGCAGAGTAGATTAGGTTTGTCCAGTAATGGAACAAAGTATCATTAATGTCTTAAAAACAAGAGAAAAGACTGTTAAATGGATTATGAATTTGATGTAAGATAAAAAAAGTTTATATGTTTACTTTATTTATTTTATAATGATGGCATTATAAAATAAATAAATGTAATCTCTAAGTTACTCTAACATAATATCAAAACATATTAAAACTTATATTTAATTTTAGATATGAACTAAAAATACTTTTCTTATCTTCTATTTTTTTACCTTTAGCATAGTCTTCAAGTAACAGATGGAAGTGGCCTAACTTGCAATATGTTTTTGGATCAATACAAATATCCCTCCGAGCTCCAGGGGAACATGCCCTTTCCTCTTCCTAGAAGTTTAATAAAAAGAAAATTTAAGTTAAAATATATTAAGTATGTACCTTCCAAGTTTAAAAATTACTATACAAGTTCCTCAAAAAATATCTTTTAAATTTAAAATTTTTAATCATTGATAATAATTGAAAATTAAGGAAATAATTATAACGTTATTTTATATCTCTGAAATATATATATGGCTACCTTAACTTGCACCAACATTCCCTCCAAGTATTTAACAGCTTTAAGCACAAGGGCCCGTGTCCTCCCATGTTCACTGCCTCTCAACTTTAAAAACCCGAACTGACGACTGGAATGCACAATTTTTTATTAAAAACTTTCTATGTAATAAAAACAAGACCTAAACATAAGCATGAATAGTTTCTATACACAAACTAAAATTAACTAGAAAACATTTCAATTTAATTAAACTTTCATATTACTCTTTCCTCTTATTGGAAAGCAAAACAAAAGCTATATAATACCATCCAGATTCTAGAGAATATGTTTTGAAACCAACATAGTTTTCTCTGTCTTGTTTTAAAACTAATAAAGTTTACTTTTTCAGCAAAGCGCTGTTATTTGTTAAATATATAACATCGCTGTCTGTACTAACTTTATAATATGCAATGATTATGTACATGTGGTTAAATACCTCATAATATATATTTCCAATTATATAAAAATAATAACAAATAACTATAACCTGTCAAGTTCTGACAAAACTTGTAATTCCTGCGAGGTTAGGTGTAATTCTTCTTTTTCGTCCATTTTATACAACACTTAACTCTTAGTCGGTTTGATTTAGTAGCCCACACACACTTAAAAATATTCTCACATATCTTTTTTCATATTTCCTATCATGTAAATAATATGTGACAAGTAACAAAAGCAAAATTGAAAGATATGAGAAGGCGTTACTTTTTTACAACTTGTATAAGCTGTGAGCTCATAGATTATAAACAAAATACTGTGAGACTCTATGCTTTAGCTGGTATTATAATAAAAGTGAAACACTTTTTTGTTGCTCCGACACAAGAAAAATTTTAATAAAACTAACATACCAAAATCCTTTTCAATAATATAAACGTAATTATAACTTCACTTTAAGTTCAAATACGAAATTCAACCATTAATCGATTTTTTTACAATTTTTTATCGAAATATGAATTATAAAATTTACAAACGAAAAATTAAAATAATGGTGTCCATTTTTCTAAAAATTCAACAAGATATAATTTGACAAATTATATATGAGACAAAAGTGATAACGGTATATATTTTGCATTGTAAAAGTCTATTTGTATTCAACAGGATATAAACATTAGAAAATGTTCAAATGAATTGAGAACCTCCTCGTTTTTGAAGTCATATGAAAAAATTGGGAACAAATAAGATAACATTAAAAAAAAACAACAAAAGTCCATTAAGACTTCTCTATAAAAGACGACGTTTAACTGTAAATATACAAAACAAAAAAGATAATGGATTTTTAGTCAAATACTTGCTCGTTTAAAGAGACATCGAAAGAATAAACAAATTAAGATTACGACTATTATGTATTTGAATATCGGTTTATTTATGGAATCGTCCAAGATTAAGCGATATTCAGCATGGATAAGGTTTTTTAAGGGGGAAAGCAACAAATGAACTTGGTGTCCATCAATCGCCTTATTTAGTTGTTACTCTCTCTCTTGTATGCACACTCTTGGAAATTATTTGTACGAAACTTTCTAGTAATATGGCTGAGATCAGAGTAACGTTATAATATATTGTGAGAGTATTTTGTATTAATTAAATATTAGTCACGTGGCACAAACAGATGGCGCTGACGCTTGTTTATTTTATCGTCAATTTTTATTTGATTGTCGGCGAATCCAATTTTATTTACGGTGTAAACAAAGCAGTGAATGAAATTAAGATTTTACTGTTTAACTAGCAGTTGAATTCGGTTACTGATATTTTCATACAATAGGGAAATTCATAGAGAGTAGTGTCATCTATTATCGGTAATTGGCAACTTGTCCTTAAGTATACATAATCAAGTAATCAACGGTTGAAAAACTTATTATTTGCAGGATCTATATACATATTGCCAAAAATGCTAATATCTTCACTTAGATAAGTTTAATTAATGGAGGTCGACAGTAAAATTCAAGAGAGGTTAATTATATTTGACAACTTTCTTCCAAATTAATTGTAAATCACCTGCGTTGTGTGATATAAATGACCAAAGAATTTTAAAACGATAGTATTTAAAAAAAAAAAAAATGTAAACGACAAATAAATGGACATACATTCCAAAAATATGTTATTTGTAAATCCTCTAATAGGTTTTAAACATATAATTTAAACCATTTTCATTATTTGAATAATCCAACTATAAAAGATTCAAAGAGAATTAATGATGGTGGATGTAGTTCATTGCTTTGTTATAATATATTCATTTCAATAAAAAATATTAACATACACAGCCAAATTTATTTATACTTTCATATAACAAGTAAATACAACAAGTTAATTTCTGTAATTGGTAAATAGTAATATAATAATTTAGATAGAATACACAGCAATATAACAGTTATATTTAGAAAATCTGTTAATTTTATTATCACACAATATGACATATATTTTATATGACATAACTAAGGACAGAGTGGCTTGCAGTCCACCATAAAACATTGTTTCTTCCAGTTATATTCACTTGTGTCACTGTTACCCACAGCCAGTACTTCAAAAACTCCTCTTTCAACTTCATTTCCTTGATTTGGAAGATAGCATGTCTGATACAACATGTGGACTTTACCAACAACTAATTCATCATTTATCATAGCACGGCCAATATAAAGGGATTCCCTGCCTACCTCCGACTTCCCAGCTACATAGACATTACTTGGTAGATATGGACTCCTACACTTTATCCACATAGCATTATAGCCACAGAGAACCTGTAACATATCTTTTTTCTTTATCTACAATTAAGTTTTACTTTAAAAATTATTTCAATCAAAGGTTCCTCCAACCTCAAATTCACTTTTACTATGTTCTTGGTGTCCCCATGGAAGAAAAGCGAGCTGTTTAGATGGAACATATTTTCCTGGACACAATGATCCTCTATGATTTGCACGAGCTATATAAATTGGTTCTCCCTGAAAACCAGCTATAAGTGCATCAACAGGCAGCTGGTCGCCAGAAGTCATCAGGACCCATCGTAATTCACCTCCATCAATATCTTTAAAAATATTTTCAAACCTAGTTTGTGTTTCTAAAAACAGACAAATCAGTTTAGAAATGTAACATGAAATATTTATATATCTTAATAAAATAATGACAATGGTAATATTTATTTTATATTCTTTTCAAAATTATGTACCTTTTATTTCAAAAGTAACATTTTCTAAATATTTAAATGTAATAAATCCTACACTTGGTTCATTATCTATGGGATCAATTTTTCTCTGAGTTTTGTTTTGGTATTCTAAGAGAGCACCATTATTTACAGACCCCAATTGAAAGCGGTTATTATACCAGCTCGCCCAAATTTCATGAGATTGAAGTGATAAAAGAAAATTTGGCAGTTCTATTGTTTTTTCTTTGACATCACCCACCTTGAGGATTATTATTTTATTTAAATAATCAAAACATACCTGAAATTCAGACAACAAGCAAATTATTTGGCTGCTTTATAAATATATTTTGTAGATAGCTAAGTATAGCGCATTTAATTTAAGCTTTGCATTTGTGTGTGCACATGGATAGTGTAGGTGTGATGTCAAATTTTTGAATGCAACATTCTTTTCTAGTTTTGAACTGGTTTATTGTACTTTTACTCCGCCCCGCACCTTCCGCACTTCACCCTTTGTATTGGTAGCAAAATCAAAAGATGAAAATGTAATGTCGAGTGAAGAAGAATTTGTAGTTTTTATTTTTTTTTTATTAATTAATAATTTTTATTTCCATAGTATTCATAATATTTCCATCTGGTGATTTACAAGTTTTGCTTATTTTATAGCACTTATGTAATGTATCTATTTAAAATATAATAAAATTTAAGTCTAAAAGTTTTTTGTCTAACTCTACTTTTACTTTCACTCACACAAATGCAAAGCTCAGCTTAAGTCTAACGGACTATAAGATAATTTGTCTCAATATAACAATTTTAATGAAATGAGTTGAAAATATTTTATAATATGTCATTTGTTTAAAGAATAACACTTACATAAAATATCAATAACAATAGAGTTAGATAAATACCATTTAATCAATTAAAAAAATAAGTTGTCACTGCCAAGTTTTACTTTCAATTAAGTTGATGACAATGTAAAATATTAATGAGAAAAAAATTTGTATCATGATATTTATTTTATACTATTTCTAAAAGAAATTTTAAATTTATTCAGATAACCAATTATATTTATTATTTTGTACGTTTTTTATCATATTATAATGAATTAATGATGTAATATACCTTATACAATATCCCATGTGGGCAGTCCCCTGCAGACAGAAAAATTTCGGGATATCCTGACGTAGTTGGTAATGAATCCACCTTCATAGTAAACTTTACTGCACAGCTAGTCACTCGAATTGTTTTGTATTTATAATTACGTTCCACTGGATCTAAAACGTATTTTTAATAAAATAATTTTCATTATAATAATAATAAAATGCATTTGATGATATATAATTATTAATTATATTTTAAGAATGCTGTAAAATGTGTTGCAATCTTACCAATATTATTTCGATTTCGTTGTTTCATAGTAGCAGTTTTCATTGATGAATATTTCATGTCTTTTGTATAAAAATATGATTTTCAAGTATTATAAGTTAGGGAACAGAAAATACATTAAAAACAGTAACTATTGACATTTGACACTACTCTGAAGTCTGAAGTCTGAGTTTGTTATCTTTAGCACAACTAAAGATTTTAATGAAGATTTCAATTTAAAAGACAAAGGCGATAACTTACATAGAAAATATAAACGGGGAAGAATCTGAGACATAGGGTCATTTTCCTAAAATTAAAAAAATATGCAATACATAACTGAATACAAAATTGTTAAATGGAGTTGTGAGAATTAGTTGATTAATAATTAAGAATCATATAAGTAATGTTAATTTAACAATCATAAGTAATAGGCTGCAATAATTTTTACACGGTGGTATCTTAAGGAATTTGAAACGCAAAAAAGGAATTTAAATGTATAAACACGAAACAAAGATTAATATGTGATATGAAACAATAAAACATAAACAAATATTTATATAGCCATGCTATTGCTATTTAATAGTTATCAGTTTATTTATTTCATTTTATATTGTTTTCCAATGTTGGTTAATTTCTGTGTAAATGACAGTCAACATAAAAAATATTAAAACATTTTTTTATTTAAGAAATAAGACTTGAGGTAGGTAACTAAATTGCCTTTTACCAATATGAGCTAGTATATATTATGAGCTATCATTAATTCATAAATAACGTAAAGTTTAAGCGTTTGAAAATTTTGTTGATATCTTTGGTGTTTACATCAAACAAAATAAAGTAGTGCATTAAAATACGTACACAGTACATTTATTCAATAAAATATTTTATTATATGTACTACTATTGTTAAAAAAAGATAAATTATGAGCTTATAGGTGCACCTTGGAAATAATATATTTTGACATTTATACCGTTCCACAGAGTATATTTGGTTTTCTTGAATCAAGATTTTAAACTGTCTTTTATAAGAATGAAATGTTTTGAGTGAGCTGTGAAATATATACAGTTTTAACAATTAACGTATTCCCTGTTCACTACACAGTACATGTTGTGACTATATCGTGTATACTGTGTACAACTCGAATAAAGTTTTAACTGGGTTTAACTGTATCTTATTATTCCTAAACATTGGATAACTGCTTTATATATTTCTTTGATTGAAGTGCTGAGGACGTCAAGAGGATGAGTTACAGAGATTCGGTAAGTTAAATTGCTATTACGTACTAATGTATAATTTTCATTCCCATTTACGTCTCATCCATTAATTCGCTTATAGCTCTTGGAGTTATTTAAAAATGTATTTTCTAATTTTATAAATAGATATGTCGGCCTAGATTTATTTTTGTATCATAATAGTCATACAGTCAAGGTCGCTACTGTAGCCCATCTATAGAAGGCATATCATCTTTCCAAGGCGTAATTAAATAGAATCGATTTTATATAGCACTTTATGAGTGATAATAATAATATATATCTGTGACACAAAACTATGATTTCACATCTTGAAATAGAAAAAAAATTTAGATCATACTTTCGGCTATTATTAGATTTGCAAATTGTAATTCCCTAGTCAATTTGATATTAAACTATGAATATTGTATTCAACAGTATTCACTTTATGGAAGAGACTACTTTAGTACACCTAAGGAATATGGACTAAGCTTACACTCAAGGCCAACCACGGTATTTATGAACTGAGTGTGATCTTGCTCTCAATACTATATGAAATGGTTGAGAATTATTATATAAGTCTTAACATATTATTTAAATGATATTAATATAGTATATGTTGAGTTTATGGTTATTGTGTTTTGCTTTCTAATGTTTTACTTACATTTATTTTAGCTTTTCTTTATTACTTACAGCATCACTTTTTTCTTTTTTTTAAGTATTTCTTAATTATTATCGTTATAACACTGATTTTAAAAAGCAGTAGATTATACATTAGATTAATAGAAATAAAATATGTGTTATAGATGCTCGGTTTTTTGTTTTTCAAATATATATATTTTTCATGGTTTTTACATAGTCTAAAAAACATTCCTTCTTTAAGGAATTTTTTAATCAAAAATAATTTGATGGTTGATAACATATATATTATTTAACAAAATATTTATCATTTATCATATTTATATATAATATAAATTATATATATTTTTTGTTGGGGTGATTCATTATGATTTCTAGTTTAAAGATAGAATTTTATTTAATGGAATTTGAAAATAAAAATTTATATTTTTATTCAATAGAAACTGGATAGTGTTGATAGATGTTCTACCTATTGGTACGTGAATATGAAGTCTTGTGTGGTGATCAAACTATCTTAGTAATGACCTATAAACTCTGGCTATAATTATTGCTATCTAATTGTTATATCAGCGGCACAAATAGTCATTATTTTAAGAGATGTCATATGTACATTCTTGTATATTAAATATACCATTTATATAAAGAATTGGTAGTGACGATCTAATTAATATGGCATTATTTACACAGAGCTATTCATCAACGCCGTCGTCGGTGCTGAGTTCATTGTCGTCCTTCCGTTCGAGACCCTACACCGGCGTCGGTGTGACATACACCCCAACACCAGACGTCAATGAAGTCTATCCGGGACTCTTTGTTGGAGATGCGTAAGTACCATCATATTTTGAATAAGATAAAACATGGAAATTTCGTTATTCATTATTGCAAGACATGCTACCGTTCAAAGTAATTCAATAAATATCAATAAACATTAAGGTATATCAATCCTTGTGCAAGTCACGGAAACTGGTACGCCCGAATTAATACGAAAATTTTATGACAAAAAATGATATTTTGTATACAGCTTTAAGTGTTTTTTTTTAAAGTGTTGCTGCTAAAGACAAAGCTTTTCTCCGACGTATGGGCATCAACTACGTGTTAAACACAGCAGAAGGCAAACGCTATACTCAAGTGGACACTGACCACATCTATTATCGCGACTGCCCCGGCCTACGATACAAGGGCTTTCAACTGATGGATCTTCCCACTACAGATATATCCAAGTACTTCCATATCGCCGCCAACTTCATCGATGAAGGAATCTCTAGAGGAGGTTTGGCCACATTTTCTTAAGATAACTTTAAAATTTGTAGTATCATATCAATTGAAGTAGTTAATTCATTCAATATACATATTTTTATTTAGTATCAGAATGTATCTACCAGTATACATATATTGCATACAAACATGTACCTATCTATTTTTATCGGATGACATTCAAATAGACTCAATCAATCATCAGGTCGAGTGCTCGTGCATTGTATGATGGGTGTGTCAAGGTCGGCTACATGCGCAATCGCATTCCTAATGATCAAACGTGGGATGACTCTGACTGAAGCTCTAGCTTTAGTACGATCAAGACGCGACATTCACCCCAACGACGGTTTCATCCGCCAGCTCCAAGACCTCGACAGGGAACTGCGTGTCTGTCGTGTGCGCTGACATCAGACCCCCCTTCCCCTCAAACGATCTGCCCTCCCCTTAAGCCGAGCTCCTCTCTCCTTCAACCAAGCCCCTCTTCCCCTTAACCAATCTCCCCTCCCTTCCCATAGCTTCCTCCCTCCCTCCCTAGAAATCGAGCACCGTCTTCGCGTCAGAAGCTTAGATCGAGCTTACACCAGTCGCTATTGAACATTAATTATTCAGTCTTGTCGAAGGTTCTAATGAGAGCATTAAATTTTTATAAACTGTTTTGAAAACTCTTTATATAAAGAATAATATAACAGTTGCATTGAAGCCTGATCTAAATTTTCAGGTTTCGATAATGAGATATAGTTTCTGTAAAAAAAAAATATTTTTACATACTCTCATGTGCCATTATTTTTTTCTATTTATAAACAAAACTGTTGTTGGTAATGTTAATGAAAAGTTTATTACTATTACTAGATTTCTAAGCAAATGTAATTAGTAATGTCCAGAATTACTATGTATAATCATTTATAAAATGTAGCTTCCATGGATATGTTATTTAACTATAGTACAACTATTAGCCTTATAGATCAAATTAACTTAATTTGGTACATCATATTCTTATGCAATGAAACGGTATTGTTAGAAATAGCTCTCATCCATAGTGTCTAAATAAAATTTAACAAATTATTTATCATCTCTTTGGCAGTGGGGTAATAACAATAAAATAGTATTTCTAGCCATTGTGGATGATTGCTAGTTTGATATGTAATTGTTAAGTTGAACTTCTCCAAGACTGGCCCTTAGTGGCACTTGAGTGATGGTTTAATCTTAGTAAGTTAGTTAGCAGTAGTGGATCACAGAAGTACACTTATCAATAAATGACTTGAAAAATTATTTAACTTCAAATTGGCTGCTCCTTAAATCTAAGTACTTCCATAGAGTATTATTTATTCAGATTTTTTTTAGTATTTCCATCTATGGATTATATAGATATACACATTAGTTTGGGTCCAATATCACCTATAGACAAACTAACATTTTAATTCTCAAACATACAATCTGTTAAATCAGTACACATTATTATAAAAGTTATTGAAATGTTAACATAGTTAATAATTTTATGTGTGAATGAGTCAACTTTAAAACATAATATCACCATATAATTTTTAAAGAATATTCTAACATTTATTTTGTTATGTATATTACAATTCAAGTAAGGAGGTGCAATATCATTAAGTTTTAAATTATACCAAAGGGGAATATGTGATATACAATATAGAATTTGAATCAAATTTATTGTTATATTTATTTATGTAATTAAAAAAGATTCTCTATATGAAATAGTTGTCATGGCTTGTGATTGAATACATAATCTGTGTTGCCTTATTTAGAGAGCTAGCTAGTATATTAAAGAGGAGGATAAAGTAACCATATTTTATTTTATAAATAATTTGTAACTGTGATAAATATTTTAATGTAGATTATCTTTTTAATGGGAATGTTTTGTTTTTACTGTTATTGCAATTTATTAGAAGTATCTCACAGCTATATGTCATAATAATTATGTTAATATCTATCTCAGTCATGGAAAAAATGTTTGATATGTATGAAAAATAAAGGTTATTTATTTAGAATATTGTTTTTCTTCTCAAAAATGTTATATTTAATTTTATTTTGGTCTGAAATATTCTTCATTTTTTAAAGATAAAAAAAAAATTGTTTCAGTAAACTGTAAAAGTAACTTCAGAGGAGTTATTAATAATTTAAGTGTTTTAAACACAATTATTGGAATTAGAAAGTAATTTGTAAGTGTCTTTCATTTGTGTTCAAGTAAGCACTTCATATTTCATTTACTTTATGACTTGAGCATTTGGAATTTAAATTTATCAAAACTTATTAAATTATTTGTGTGATTAGAATTTATTCCTAACCCTTATCAATTCCACTTTTTTCATCTACATGAGGTCAATTTTATGTTCATTTATTTGTCGCTGATGGTAATAAATAAATCAAAAATGTCATTACAAACTACTTTTATTTTAATATTTTAATATAATATAAAATCTAATCATAATAAATGGCACATTACAGATAAGGCCTATTCATTTCAGTTTTTTTGGCCTTCTTGTCTCTGGCTCTTGGGAACCAACGATGTGGAGTGGTAAGTGTTAATGATGCTAACTGTTGTCTTGCTATTTCAGGCTTAATGTCTTTGAACACTTTTCTCACTTCAGTAAAATCCGACATTTTTAGAATGGACGTATCAGTAACCTCTTCTGGTAAAGGTTTAGAGTATTCATAAGGAAATTCCTGCTCTCGGTGAAGAGCAACTATAGTGGAACCGTCGTCAGTAATCACTATCTTGTTATAACATCTGGCGAGTAATTTCTTTGGTTGCGATGAGACTGATCTTAATAAAATAGACATTGTTGTTACTGTGAAAATCTAAGTATTTTTCAGAGACACAACCTCAAAATTATACAGACATTTTTGTGTCACTGTCACATTAAAATGTCACAGCGCCGAAAATAAAGAGTTAAGTAATGAAGGGTAAGCATCAAAAATAAATGGAAAGTATAACATGTAAATTATATTAATGAGTTTATAATTAGAGTTATTTTAATAAAGAACAAAATCAAAATTCAAAAAATTATTAATTATTAGTTTTACTATTCTACTCATCCTTAAGTAGTATGACAACATTTCCTTGCGTCAATTTTGTTTTGACATAAGAGGACTACAATTATTGTTTGTAATTTTAGTTGAAATATTATATTAGTTTTCTTAAAGGTCTTTTCATGGATTTTCCTGCAACGCCGTCAAATGCATCGGATAGCAACGATTATCCTGGTGCCACCCCATCTCAGTTTGATACAGCACAAGATAGTACAAAAAGACGAAGGTATTTTTGACACCAAAATCATTTGAAGTAGTGTGATGTTTCGTATGTATTTATTCATATTTATTTTACAGTTCCTCGAGATCAATAAAACGTCGGCGATTCGATGATGAATTGGTGGAGTATAGTTTAGGTTTACCAGGTGCTTCAATTGGCAAAAATGAAAAACGAGTTCGGACACAGTCTTATACAAGTCAATTGCCAGAAGCAGTGGTTGTTGGAACTAATCCTGTGACACCAGCAGCTCCTACTCAGGAGCGAAGACGAGCTTCAAGCAAAATATCAGGTGCAGGCAGCATTGGTCGCAAGTCTCGACGTAAGGGACAACTAAGTCAGCTATCCACAAAAGATTTAGGGAGATGGAAACCCACAGACGATTTAGCATTGATTTTGGGAGTACAACAAGTAAGTATGCTTACAAATTCTTTATCCAATGAAATTATTAATGTCAAACATTTTCTTTTTCTGCCAGCCAATTTGTTATAGCAATCATTTTAATTTTTACAGACAAATGATCTGCGTATTGTTCATCGCGGCGTTAAGTTCTCTTGCCGTTTCACAGTAGGTGAACTGCAGTCTCGGTGGTATGCACTATTGTACAATGCAGAAGTGTCTCGTGTTGCTCTTGCAGCAATGCGCAACTTGCATCCCGACCTTGTTGCTGCTGTTCAACAGCAAGCACTGTATTCTAATGCTGAGGAAGAGCTGCTTGGAACATTGCCTAGTGTATGTACAAATATTAATATATCCCTACTAATATTATAAATGCGAAAGTAACTCTTTCTGTCTGTTATGCTTTTACGCCTAAACCACTGAACTGATTTTAATGAAATTTGGTACAGAGATAGAGTTGACCTTGAGAAAGAACATAGTATAGTTTTCATCCCAGACTTTTGGCAGAAAGCTAGAATGTATTTAAAAAGAATAAGGTTGCCAAAAATTTAAAGTGTACTCGATTATCAAGTACAATCAAGTATTTTTAATATTGCCTGTCTGGCATTTTGTATTTTGGTACTCATTATGCTTTCAAAGGTGATTTGAATTAACACAGAATGACAGAGGAAGTGCATAGAGAAATTTATGGAAACATTAATCTTTGAATAATTGAGATTCCAAAACTAAGATAAAAATTCTCTTAAGTCATACTATAATAAAATTTAGTTATAATAATTTATGAGTTTAAATATTATAAAGGAATAACAGTGTATCTTTTCGAATTTGAAATACTTAGGATAAAAAAATTTACGCTCATTCAAAGTATAATACATGATTTACATAGCAAAACTATAGACAGTAATTAAATAAAACACTTGAATATTTTCACTCTTATTTGAAAATTTCACAGTATCGTATATTTTTTTATATTGCAAAAGCTATTGTTTAAACTTTTTAAATTTTTCAGAATTCACATCCAGCTATAGAAAAATTCCAAGAGTTATTGGAGGCTAACCCTCACATATTTTATCCGACACGCACTGCCAAGTCTTTAATGAACCATTGGCAGCTATTGAAGCAATATCAGCTTTTACCTGATCAGACTGTACAGCCTTTACCTGTTAAAGGTAAGTTAAAACTAATTTACTGTTATTTGTACTAAATTATTTCCTTTGTTGTGTGTGTGTTTTTTTTTAATAAGATAATTTCTACATATTATTTTTAAATTTAATTATAGTACACCATCTTCTGTTTTACAGTACCAAATTGCAAGGGATTCAAGTAATCTTTTTATATATACATATTATTATATGTTATACACAGTACATATACATAATAAATGAATATAAAGTGTATTTCACTCAAAAATTTATTTGATACTGCAGAATTACTTTGTTTCTAAATAGTTGTAATGATTATTTTTACATAAATTATAATACATATATCATCTTCATAGGTCAAACTGACAACATTATGACATTCTCTGATGCTGAAGAAACTATAAATGACTCGGAATTACCTGATTATAAAGAGGATTGTATTGATATTGAAATGCAACTCGCTGACAGGTTGGTTTGATTGTAATTTAAATAGATTATAATTAACAGTATATATATTACTTACTAATTATAGCACTAAGGGGTAGACAAAATTGTCTTATTTAAGTTTTAATCAACTTTTGTGGATATTTTAAATTAGTTTTTTTTTTTGCCAGCATTGGATAAAAGACATTACTTATTCACAAATCTATGTATATATTGTTATATATTCATTTTTAAGGAGATGATTGATGCTTGTACTAGATGAAATATGTGCCATTACCACTTTTATACATATAATATTTGAAACATTCTAGAATTTTCTAATTGTGTTTCTTTCAGGGTTGAAAAGAAGGATATCCGGTTACTTGAGAACTGTATGTCCCGCTGGCAGGTTCTAGTCCAGTCGGTGGCTGGTGGCAGCGCTGAGCTCGATAAGAATACTCTGGCTGTACTGAGAGGAAGACTCGTGAGATACCTCATGAGATCCAGAGAGGTGAATATCATATTATTTATAATAGTTTATTAGTTATTTTAATGATTATTAAATGAGGTATGTTGTTTAATGAACAACATTTTTTGTCCTGGATCATCTTTATACACCAGTAGATAATATTTGAAAATTTTTGTTTTCAAAATCGCGGTTTGTATATCAACTGAATGATTTGAAACAGATTATGTACTGAAGTATTTGTGTTATTTTATGAAGTACATAATAAATAAACAATTCAGATGATAAATGTATGTCAAAAAGTATCTATTTAATTCACAATGATTCAAAATGAGCTTTGCCAATCGGCATTCGCTTTTTTGTACTTCTGGATTGGCTGTAATGCGACATGCGATAGATGAACGAAAACAATTATTAAAATTTCATTTTGAATACACTGCACAATTTCCCCAAATCGAAGATTGTCTGGCAGAAATCGCTGCATAGCGATAAGACCGCCTTTTTGTACACTTCCATTTATTTTATTACTTTTTCCGTCTAAAATTTACTGTTTGTGGTGTGCAATAAAGTATATTCTATTCTATTCTATTCTATATTTAAATAACATATAGAGGTAATGGTTTCATTCTTTAGAACAGACTCAGGTTTTCTTGAATAAGGTGAGTGATAAAGTTCCGAAAATATGATTAATACTTGGAAAATATTGATTGTTATGCGTCACATAATACTCTTATTAGTTTTGGCCCGCTATTCAATATTTGATTCTTAATATAAAAGAATTATTTCTCAGTAGTTTTAAAAGAAGAACAAATATTATAAGCAAATTAATATTTTAGTTATTTTTGCATTCATTCATATACGATCTTCTAAGGTATATCTGAGAAATGAAGTATAATAATCGGAAGAAAAAAATATTTAATTGGGGCACAAATATTTAATTGGGGATATGAAAATTTTACTTTACGAGAAATAGTCTCTCAGTAAAAATTAAAACCATTCATATGAATCATATTAACAAGATACATAAATTTCATTCATTATTACAAATATTTAACAGTTTATTGATTGAAAAACTCATCGTACGTACAATGAGGATACAAGCTTATGCTAATCATACTGGAGCTCGCTTCGTATAACAAAAAGTAAGCATTACCCTGAGAACATTCCGTGTAACTAATGCTTCCTTTAATCAAATGAATCGTCTAACCGATCTGGGAACGTGATTCATATATTACAAAGATATAGAGGGATCTTTTTATATGCATTTATTGTATAGACATTATACGCTGCTCTGTTCGTACTTACGTAACATACGTATGTAATTAGGAAAGTTAAATTAAGTTTTTATTTCTTGTTTGATTTCTTACATATATCGAGTAATAGTTCAAAATAACTAATCTCTGGTCCGTTCGCTTAAACAATAGAGAAAAATGTATTTAGTTAGTTCATATTCAGATTTTCCATTTTTTTTTAAATACTAAATGAATGTTAAATAAAGAAACAAAATATTAATAAAGATATATAAGGAATATATCTATAAATTGTATACAACGATTATGAACATACAAGCATGGTAACTGCTATAATTAAAAAAAAAAAAATTCTTAGGTCATACAAGAAACATTTGATTAGAAGTGCATAATTAGTGGTATAAAATTGCAATTATAGGGAAATTTCTTATAAATAGCAACATTAATTCAAATGTAGACTTTAATACAATGTTATTAGTCTATGGTATCTAATTAAAATTTATTTTTATAAATATAGAAATTGAAATTGGATATTATATTACGTACTTGTTGCACATATGTAGTATTGGAGTAGTATAACAGTTTATCAACAATTTTAAATATGACATTTCATAATATTCGGCGTAGCAGTTTAGACCTTTACGTGTTATTCTAATACAAAGACTTTTTTTAGTATGACTAAACTCAATGCGTAATGATTTTCTAAATTTCATATTCCTATCGACTTTTTTAAAATTTTTGTACTTTTAAATGTAGTATTTTGAAACCTCGTCAATAGCTTTTAACAAACAGTTAGCCTTCCTTAAAATTAAAAAAATATTTAATTTTTGTTTAATTCGTTTGTATCTGTTTGATATTGATTGTGACTGACTCAGGACGGTGTTGTTTTTGTGTATGTGTGGGCGTGTGTGTGTGTGTTGTTCACCCGTTGTCATGGCAACCGATATCTCGTATTATCATGATCGCATCCACGCCACCAAGGAAGTGATGATCCCTCGCTTTCCTCTATTGATTCCAAGACTCTGTCAAAATGCCTTTGATCCTTTCAGTGTCACACCATAGAGCTACATAATGTATAGACAGATCTTGATCGATATTGTATTAGCTACTACAATATAATATGTATTAGATAAATTACATATATCTAGTGTTCGTAATTATTATATATGAAGTATAATTGTTAACAAAATTATTGACTCATTGAAATAAAATCACTCAATTTTTTTTCTACCTTTAAAATTTTACGAATGTTTTATTCTGATTACTTCTTCAATCCAGAGGACAAAGGCATAAAGCTATTTATGAACTTTGTGCATTTATAAAGAAATATATAAACAAGAATAGCTCTTTAAACTAATAGCGTGGAAATGAGAAGGCAGTATTTTTTTAACATACACTTTGCCGCTTCTGCGTTTGCGAATTTTTATCAATATAAATTAAACCTTTATCAAAAACACACACAGATTTATCTACATAGATATAAATTCATGTGAAATTTAACAAAAATATATTAAGTATGTATACATATTGTCTATTTACAATTTGCATTAATGATGATACCTTTAATGATACATGATATCATATCATTTTTTTTATGTTAAAGATATTATTGTTATTTTAATCACATGTATGATTCCGTGTTATCTTTTAATTATAATATACTAACTATATTTTTAGTCTGAATTTTTAAAATGTAGTCAGTTACATTGTATATATAAAGATAAAACATGAAACACATAATATTATATGAAAATAATAATTTTTGACCAGTTGCATTTACGTGTCAGTGAAATTCTATTGATGTTTTTTTTTCCTACTTACGATACGATCGCAAACTTTCCATTGGTTGTTCGGAAATAAACTCACATGTTGACCGTCGATAAATTCGAAATACATTTTTTACTATCAGCTATTGGATTTTAAGTTGCATTGACTTAAAAAGCGATTGTATTGACGATCGATATTAAAATTGCTACAACATGTGTGTCAAGGTTCAGGGTGACCTAATGACATTACTGGTTTTTAAATGCATCGTTGTTATTATTTTTTTTAATAAAAGGTTCTATTATCTAGATATGATTATTGTTTTTCTTCTACTTTATTGCTTTTTCGTTTGTATATATGATGTACAATTCAATGGACAATACAAACGATTGCCTTTATTTTCGCTAGCTATACATTTATAGATTGGTGACACCCATTACATTTCGTCGAAATGTTTACAATACATCAATGTATTTATTTTAGGTGGTTTTAAAACGTCGAGTGTATTGTATGAAGCTCGGTCTGTATGTGAGTTTTGTAATGATCAGAATGTTTTGCTACAGACGGTCATTGTTTATAAACATCGTATGTTAGTTGGACATTGTTTGCATCGTGTTCAAAACATCACAGCCAGGTATGCGATATCGTGATGGAACTCAGCAAATGTCCGGTGGATTAATGTTGAACGTCTTGTAATTTTTGGTAACAAACATATCTTTTCAGTGAAGATGGTTTTCTGGTGATATTTTAATTACACGTTTTATACTAACTGTCGTGATCAAATTTGAAATATTTCTCCGCTGTGGGTAGTGTCTTTATTGTAACAATTTAAAGTTCCTTATATATGCTCATTACCTACGTTACTTTCTAAAAGGTTTTAGTCTTTTAGTATTATTTGTATAATATCGTACTGAAAGTTGCATATTCGTGAGTTATTTCAATTTAACGCTAGTGTTATCTTATCATAATTGTCGAAATCGAACAGTAAAACATTTTATAGTTGTGATAACAGATATTGGCATTGCGACATCGGATTATTTAGATTGCCTTCTGGTTTGATTCGTGTTCACAAAAATTGTGTCACACAACTATGTAGTAGATATAATATAGATTAATTGGGTGTTATTACATTGGGATATAATTTGTTATACATATGTGTATAAAAAGAAGAGCTTGTAGGAAATAGTATTAAAGGTTTACGAAGGAATTTTGGGGGTTTTAGGAAAAAAAAACATCACAGATATATGAAATCGATTATTTTATTTATTCAATATGTAGAACAGGTTCTCGGGTCTACAACGAAATATTATACTAAACTTCCATTATGGACAAAATTTGGTCACAAGTTTATAATTTCAATTTCATTGTCCATCGACATTCGATTATTATTCCTCATTTTAATCGTGAAAAGTAAAGAAATACTTAATATTTCTAATCATGCGTTTATAACAAACACATTCTTAGGTAAACTTGATAACAGTTTGAGTCGTAATTATTTATCTGATAATATTGTTTTATCATATTACAATTGAGCTCCTTACATATATATAGTAAGGAGCTATATATATGTTATATATGATTAATTAAGCCGAGTGTGTTAGTAGTGGGCTAGTGTAAATACATTGTATTATTACAAGTCGATTGCTTCGTTTTATTATCGAGAAATAATTTTATCTATGTTCAAGTCATTTGTCAATTTGTCAAATACATTGTCACTATGCTGTTTATGTTTATATATAAATATATTTATGAAGTGTCTTCCTTATAAGTATTTTATTGATTGTTTTTTTATAGATTTTTGTATGAATGAAATTACATTCAAGTTTATGAGTTTCAGTCGGTTTATACTTTTAATGTATATGACTCATTATCATCTATTTGTTTTTATATTATTATAATTTCCTTGTTCATTATCTTTGAAATGATTTTTTCTTTAGCTGTAATAAATTTTCAGTACAACTAATCACAGATGGTTTTGTGCATAATTATAACATGTTACAGCTGTAACCATTTGAAAGATGATATGATAGGTAAATCGGTTTAAGAAACATAAAT